TCTTGGGTCGAAACTACACTCTGCTAATGAGATTTTCAAGTCGCTGAGACTTGGCGGTAGGCTTCGACTTCCATCTCCTAGACTATTATATAGCAGCTGGATCTTCTCATCTTTTTGAAGTGCTCTATCCCAGAGGGTCTGAAAATGTTCGTCTGAAAACATATTATTGCCATTGGGGATAGGTGAACTATTCTTAGTTTGGGACTTCATCTTATTAGCTGAAGAAAAGGAGAAAATCCATGAGTCTTTCATTAGCTGCAATTCTCGATCTTTCAGGCGGTAATCATCATATCCTTGTGGCATATCTTGCTCACGTCTTGATAATGCATCGGGTCTCGCTGCTAATCTTCCCGGTCGATATTTCAGCTTGAAGTCGAACTGCGATAGGAGTTGTGACCAACGCACCCGTCATTCGTTGAGCCTGCGTGTTGACATAAACAGTTTCAGATTTTGATGATCTGAAAGTACGACAAAGGGTTTATTTAGCCCAATCAACATACCACGCCATTCTTCCATACAGCAAACTATAGCCATTAATTCTTTATCGTGAATATCATAATTAGATTCTGCCGGACTTAACTTCTTTGATAGGTATGCCACTAGACGAAGGGCCCCATTTTTATCTTTTTGAGATAGACAACCGCCCAATACGTATCCTGAACAGTCTGCTTCGAGTACAGTTTCTTTTTGATCGTCCCACAGGGCTAGAATAGGTGCAGTAATAAAAAGTCCTTTTAGTATATCGAAAGCTTTCTGCTGCGGCGTTTCCCAACGGAATGATACATTTTTTTAAGGTTCAACAGTGGTTCCGCTACACGACCGAAATTTGGGATGAAATCGCGATAAAAATTTGCAAATCCAACAAAGCTTCGCACCCCTTTTATGGTTGTGGGTGCTTGCCATTCTTTTATTGCTTGAACTTTGAGAGGATCAACCTTAATTCCCTCATTTACTGATATAATGAATCCCAAGTACTTTGTTTCCTTTACTGCAAATTCACTCCTCTGGGGATCTAATTGCAGACTGGAAAGTCCTAAACTTTCAAGAACCACGTTTACCTTAGCCCAATAGTCATTTAAATCTCCAGATGTATAGATTAAAACGTCGTCTAGGTAGGCCGAACAAAAATCTCCCAAATATTCACCCAAGACACTGTTTATGTATCTTTGAAATGAGCTTGGAGCTCCTGTTTGCCCATAGGGTGTAACCAGCCATTCAAAGGATCCGAATCTATTTCGAAAAACAGTTTTGCTTTCATCACCCTCCCGGAATCTCAACTTGTGGAAAGCAGCGCGAACGTCTACTTTTGATACCCATGTAGATTTTGCAACCTCTCTAAGCGTTTCTTTGATAAGTGGTAGTGGGTATCTGTACTTAATAGTTATTGCGTTCAGAGCTCGATAGTCTACACAAAAAACGAAGACCACCCCCAAGACTTCTTGTAAACAATACTGGAGCACCACCAGGTGAGGAGCTAGCTCGAATCCAATTTTTGTCTAGATGGTTTGTCAATGTCTTCCTTAGCACCAACAGTTCTTCTCGTGACATATCGTAAAGGGGGCCGAAAGGGATTTCCTTTTCCCTGCCATTTTCATCTTTCATTAGGTTAATTTTGGTGTCTGCACCTGGACGGTTAGGCGGTAAACTATGATTTATATCTTCTGTGAAGAAACGAGCATTTTTATAAATTTCTGGTAGCAATTTTGCTCTAATTTCTTCGAAAGTCTGACTACTTTTCACTTCTAAGGCCTTCTTGATGTCTTGCATTGAGGCTGCAAATAATTTAGTCTCTGTATCCTTTGTCTCGCGGATACGTGTCGCTATAGCTGCGAGCTGGGTCCCAAGGATCTGGCGAGCGCTTCCTGCTATTATTTTTAGACATTTTAATTTTGTCCTTGATGCACTTGACAATCGGTCGTCCCATCCTTTAGTTCTTACAACAAGCCCCCCAGGCGGCCCAAAACGTATGGAGTGTTGACGGGCATTACAAAAAATGCTATTAGCTCTCATCCATGGGTCGCCAAGTATGAATACATATGATAAATTTTCAATTATGTACCCCCATACTTTCTCATTTCTGCCATCAATATCCATATCTACGCATGTAATTTCGTTTATAGCTCGCTGTTGAACGTCACTTTTGGTAAGTTTTAATTCTCTACTTTCGATTGGTACTCGCGGTAAATTGTGTCGTTTTACAAATGATTTGTTAAAAGCGGAATAGCACAGACATCCTGAATCCATGAAAACATTCACGTAAAAGCTTTTATTGATTAATACTTCCAAGATGAACAGGGAGCCGTCCAGTCTTTTAACATTATTTTTTACATTACAATCCACAATCTTAGATAACCCCTGAGCCTAACTTTGCCCAGAGTTTATTCTTTTCCCAATTCTATGTCACCCTGTCAGGATTGCCTTCTGTATAATCTATATATGTGGAGATAACCAAATTCTAGTGTTTTATGATTCTGGTCTGGCCTTTTGGCCGAGTGGTTATGCACCTATCTCATGCATTATATATGATGGCGCCCCTTTGGCCTGTGTCTCCGCGTTGCTGTCTTCAAGCTGCTCTGACACACCCTCACAATTGAGTTCTTCCCCTCATAGTAAAATTTTTTGTGTTGGAGAATGTGGCATTGACAGTAGCAGGTCGCTTTGCCCAGGTAAAGTGAGGACATTTTTTAAAAAAAATGTCCTCACTCTCCACAGCAGGTGCATTTCCCAGCAGTCCGAAGCGCATTGAAGTCGTCACTAGACCGCCATGGAGCAGGAGGCTTGCTTCCATCTATTCTTCCTTTTCCTTTATCCATCCTTACCGCGTTGACAATTGCAGATAAAGTCGCCATACTGATGCCATTTATATCTGACATAGCCGTATCTCCGTCTGCATCCAAAAATGGTCTGCTATCTCTCTGGGACGCGCCAGCGACTGCCCTTCCTTTAGATGATAATTTATAGATAACCTCCGATTGACCATTGAAATTTGTTTTGGTGTATTTGACACCATCCCTGAAGTTGTGGCTCTCGTTTGCCTCAATTCGACTCGCAGTTTGCTGTACTTGTTTTACAAACAAGGCATAATTGTCCTCCGCAACGTCTTTGGAATAAAGAGCTTTCGTCAGCCTTTTTTTTCAATCCCATGTAGAGGAAGTTGATCTTCACTTTTCCTTCCCAGCTCAATCCTCTTGCTTGGGCTAGAGTATATTCGAAGTCATTGAGAAAATTTGCGAATAGTTGATTATCGCCTTGCTTCATCTTCGACAGGGTTGATCCAGCTGTGCGAGCTGATTTTTTATCCTCGAATAAATCATTATTTTGCTGGATAAAAACTTCGTAGTCCCAATCCAAATTTAGTCCTCCACATAAAAACCAGTGAGAAACTCGAAGCTTGCGATCAGTAGGGAGCGTATTCATCATTCGTTACAAACAGCCTTATTCTCTCCCAACATTTCCCAGTCACTCTCGATTTTGGCTGTCAGCTGGTCAATATATACACAATAAGTTTCCGTGGCCCCAATTCATTCGGGCCACCTTGATAATTGCTTCTTTGCTTTTTGAGGTGGTGTCAGAGCAGCATGTGGACAGCAGGGCGGAGACATAGTTCAAAGAGGTTGTATTCAGGCTAAAGGGCGCCATCCTATATTATGCATGAGATAGGTGCATAACCACTCGGCCAAAAGGCCAGACCAGAATCATAAAACACTAGAATCTGGTTATCTCCACATATATAGATTATACAGAAGGCAATCCTGACAGGTGGGGGTCTTGGAACATGTGGCCTCGGTGTATCCTGAACAGTTATGAGACTTAGGATATGATTTAATTGCTCTTGCGTGACTATGAGGGGTGTTATTGTATGCTGTGCATCGTCTACAGCATCATTTTTTGGTATGATGCTTTTTAGGTGAGCGTTGGAAGTTGATAAAGATTGATCAATTCGTAACTCTGATGATATTTCGGATGATTGCGATGATTCCGAGGAGGAATAGAAACTAAATTTTCCCGGGAACATGTAAACTTATAAAAACCAGGAGAGTTATGAAGACATTCACTGGTAGTGTAAAAAGGTGAGATAAAATATATGTGAAGGGACTTCACATTTATTGTTCACAATTATGGGTCCAAAAATGAATTTATATTTTATCTAAGGAGAAGAATATATACGACGCGCGTGCAAGATGTTTTGTTCCACTCGAGCGCGTTTTCCCGTGACACTAGCGCGCTTTTGTTCATAGACGGAGCCGGATAGTTCCGGATCCACATACAAGGCTACAGCCTGTAACAGACGCGCCCAGTTGGAGGCATACCAGTTTATACCTTCCATCTTTCCTGATTTGGATAATGGTTGGTATTCTGAAGACTTTATTGTCGGTATCTACGGCTGGAAAGGATTTTTACGACGTATATTTATATTTGTTTAGAAGGTTTGCGCTAGTCGTGGGTTCCTATTTTCCCTCATTGGTTTTCTGCTTTCGATTAGTATGGGTGGAAATCTTCTTGAAGTTATTGACCAGGTCTGGGAGATTTGGAAGAGATCAAGTAGGTTGATAGGTACTTTGATCTCTTCTGCTAGTTTCTTTTTGAATTTTTTAGATGTAATCTGGATGTGGTGGTACAAGGGTTATATTCTTAATTTGCTTAGGGCTGGGGCAATGAGATTTAAATTTGTTCAGGCTGGACATTTTGGATTTGTTCCCTAGTTCTAACAATTCTGGTTTTTGGTTTTTGGACAGTTTGCTTATTTGGAACTCGCTATTTTGATAATATTATAATCTGAACATACGAATTCGTAACCTTTGATGATCTGAACTTCAACTACCTTATTTTTATCTTCATAATCAATTCGCACCTTCGCACATTTGTAATTTCGAACCTTCGATAATTTATCATCGTCGAAATCGACTCGACCTCTGTAGCTTAACAGCTTCGAAAATCTACTAATAAGTAGATTCATAACAGTTTTACATAATCTACTGGGCTTTTCCCCCGACGGCCTACTATTTCCTGCAGTTCCTGAATCTCTGCCTCTCCTTTCTTTGCTCTGCCGGATCTCTTGGGTGTCGTTTGGAAATCGTGCTCGTCATGAGGAATGTCCTCAATGCGTGCTCTATTCTTGAAATTATCAGCAGACTCTGCAATGAGTGATAATAGATCTATGATTGATTCTTCTCCGCATTCCGTGGATTATAATGGGGCTGGCATTCTTGATTTCTCCTTGTCCAACCGAACCAACTTGCTGTTGTTGTTAATCTTCCGATCCTCCCTGGTTTCTACTACGTGAATGTCCACGTTGTAGCAGGTTGCTTTCTGTGAATGCAGCGGTCCGTCTTTGGTACAGTCATGCTCTTTGGCGTGGGTCATTTCATCTTCGAACATCATTCAATAGAAGTACGATTGGGCTGATTGAAAAGATATCAGTCCGAATACAATTTCCTTCAGATATGCTTGTTCCAAATGCGTCAAGGATTTATTGTGACAATCCCTTCGGCGGTGGCCGAAGTCCGCACAATTGATGCATAGTAGCCTATCGACGGACAGCTTATGAGGTTTGGACCCGTTGATAATTGGGTGTAATGAGCTTGATGCTGGAGGCATACCCGAGTGCAGTGGTTTCCTGTCGGCTCCGCCTAGTTGCCGGTCTCTACTGTTACTATGAGGTGCTGTCAATTGTCGATATGAGGATGCAGTCCTAGAAGACATGGAAGTATTGTTTGAGCCCTGACTCGATTGAGAACCCAGGCTGTACACTGACCTTCCTGCATCTAAATCGGCAAGAACTAAGACGGTAGAGCGCCTACATTGGCTCGAAACTAATTCTTCTAGCCTTTATTGTCTGATTTGTCGATCAGTTCCTTCTCAGTCTGATCTAGTAGCTTGCTAGATCTCCGGGCTGATTGGATGATCTCAAAAGCTTCCCAAAGGGCTCCGTAGATAGCTCCGTTTCTTTCAAGGACCTTCGGGCGAAATCTAGTGATACACAAGCTTATGACGTATGCATTCACTATAGTGTTCAGAATAATATTTTCCAGTCCCATCAAGGCTGGGAGCGCTGAATTCTCGCGCCGGTGACCCCTGCAGTGGGCTCGGCGGAGTAAATTGACTGTTCTGTGATGATATACAGTTAGGGTCTCGGGCTTCTGATCATTCTAGTCGTCCTTCTTTCTCTGCGCGAATTTCTGAATTTCCGACGGTATGTTATGTTCTACATTATCTTCGAATTTTCCAGGAAACTCTTCCGTTAGCCACGCGTTGACTTCGCATATGTTTTCGGGTGTGGCAGTTTCCCAATTATTAATAATTATTCTCATCCTAGCTGTGGCGGACAGTCTATCGGGTGCGACGCCGTCAGCAAGCATCTTGATAGTCTCCAGGTATAAATCTCCTAGTGGGGTATTATGGCCGGCTCTGCGGAAATCATATTTCAATCTGAGCAGCTGTCTGGACGCCGGAATACTGCCGTAGTAGCTTCCTGATCTATGAAAGGTTGGGAGCGTTGGCTCGGGGTGACGAGTGTTTTTGGACATTCTTGGATCTTCTAAAAGGTTTTCGAAGACTTCCCTACTACCGGTTAGAACAGACAGTGGATCGTCCGAATTTGAAGATTGAATTCCTTGTCTAAGTTTGTTGACTAAGTAGAAGTTGGAGTGATGGTGTGTGTTGAGCTAGAAGTAGAAGATTCCCAGTTCACTAGCATGTGGCAACGGTGAAGGCCGACTCTTATTTTACTTTATTTTAATTTTTTTAGGTGAAACTAGTAGGATAATTTTTATTACGCTGGGCGCGAGATTTGAAAACCGGAGTTCAAGAACGATATCTGTTTCTCTACTAGAGAGCGTTTATGAATTAGAATTTTACGTTCGGTTCTTAAAATATTCCTAGGATTCGGTTACGAGAATAGAACTCGAATACAGGCGTATTGAGTGTGTCTCGCGCCTGAGGGACCAGAATAGCGCGTACGTACGTTCGTAGTCATTGCGATCGATGCTCCATTACTCCGGACAAGGTTGGATGGAGCAGTGGTACACAATTCGGCCCGTTCTCCCAGGTAGAATCTGGGTAGCTTGAACACCTACCCCATTTGAGTCAGGAGAAAGCTGGTTCGAATCCAGTAACGCCCACACACCACTCTTTCCCATGGTGATATTGTACTTGAGGGACGATGAAAGCACACTCGGATAGCCACAGGTTTTTCACGCTTTTCCCTGTGGTGGATATGCACGAAAGAGGTTATATGCCGTAAGGGTTAACCTCAAGAGGTATCTGCAAATGAAATCTGAGTGTGAGTGTTCTCAACGTCAAATTGAGTCATCCTACTTAAAGTACATATCTTCCGATAAAACCTGCATGGGTCTTAAGGCGCCAAACTAGGACAACTTGACAATTTATTTCATTACTTCGGACAGTGGGATCGTAGCTATAGAGGCTATGAGACTAGCTAAGCGATACCACATGACCTGTTCCACAATAGGAGGTTTACACTAACGAACAATTTAATAAAGCGTTAATTGAACTCGGTACCTCTGGTTGAATGGAAAGAAGTGGGACTGATGAACAGGCGTTAAGAACGACCCCTGGTGTCTCTACCCGCCGTGTAACTAGAAGGTGCCAAGAATTTTAGCCTGCCCGAAAAAATATGTACATGGGTCCGTGACACTTCAGTCCACACGATGATATGGCATAGGATAAAGGCCAATCTTATCCGAAGACACAAGTAGTCTAGCCGTGAGTCTCTCGCGACAAAGACTGTCAGTGGCTCTCTCTCTGGGGAAAAACCAGCCAGTCGCCAACCCTCGACTTTGAGGGGTGTCACATGAATGTGTTACGAGTTTCAAAAGATGTGCGAGAGATTTCCCACGGCGGGTACGCATTGTAGTAAATTGGATACAAGTTGCCGTGGGCTTTCTTAGAAATAGTCCGGAGTTGCGGCCTTATCTAATAGTAGCCTTTTAACATCTATCAAGTTCATTGTGAAACAGTGATGGAGGTCCTCTATGTACTGCGTCTCATGCCACATGAAATCTCAGCGGTCAAGCATCTACTTTGGCCAGATCAAATTTATTGGGCCGCGATTCTACTTATTACTTTTATTCTTATTTGATCTTGAATTCACCTAATCTTACTTGGTTACCAAATAACTTCATTTTAACATTGAAATAGTAACCAGAATTTTGATGGTAGATTCTAGAAGTCCTTCATAGTCTTAGACTCAGAAGGGACTATAATAAATATTCTTATCTTATCTTACTTGGTTACCTAAGGGCTGTCGCACCCTTGTGGGTTTCGATCGATCACAATTGAAACAGGATGGTGACAAAAATAACTCGTGGCTCTACTACAGCTAGTTCCGCAGAATGCAATAGTTAAGCTTGAGTTCTAATAAATTTGTCTATATCCTCTCCTAACTCCCAACTCCGAAATCTACACTTTGTGCGTAGCTTACTAATTATAGGCTAACCGCATTTAGTAGTCTACATTACATAACGTGGCCTGCTACGTTTAGGATCCACACCCTCATAGTCCTAGACCCAGTATGGACTTCAAGTCAATTCTATTTTTAGGGCTGACGCAGGTAACTATAAACTCTAATCATTAAGCAGTAGGAAATCTGAATGTTAAAACCCCCCTTTATTTTTTTTTTAATCATTTAATGTGTATTCAGCTATCTAGCTATGACACATGACCGGTGCTATGTATACATGTTGGATGACTCTTTTGACGTTAGAGACACTCATACTCTGGATTTCATTCGCCAATACCCCTGTGAGGTATGTTCGCTTACACAAACAGTCGATCCTCCTCCGTAAGTACCCACCAAAGGGAATTTCGAAACCTTTGGTTATCCAAGCATGCCTTCGTCATCCATGCATACCAGCGCCGCGAGAAAAGTGGTTGTGTTTTGCTGGATTTGAACCAGCGATCTACTGTCTCGAGTGGGATATGTGTCCAATCTATCCAGACTCTACTTGGCAGACCGGCCAAGACGATGTACCACCGCACCATCCAACCATGGCGATGTTTATAGTGTCACCTGCACTCTCGCAACCGAAGTCTTGGCACGCACAAAGCTCAATTAGTAAAAACTCCTTGCCAGAATTCAAATTCCCACGCCCGTCGAGACTTTATCCATCCTTCGCATCATCTTATGAACTTGTCCTGATTCCTCCCACGTCCATCTCAAAGAACAGTCTCCCAGATTTGTGCGCCATGCTTTGCTTCCTCCGTCGGGTATAAATATCGGCGTGGGCGTGTATTTGGTGACCGGCTGAGGCCAGAGAAAGTCGACGAGAAGTGTGATCATTGGAATAAGGATGTACTAGGTCGTACTTGTAGACTTGATGAAGCTTAGGTAGGAATCGATCTCGTAGGGTGTGAAAATTTGACGTGGTGAAGTATTTTGGATCATTGCCTCGTGGGCCAACTTGTTCGGTATTGCGAAATTTGACTGAACTTGGCTCTGAGAGAAGATTTCACTCCCAGGTTCGTAGAGGACACCGCGTACAGGTGTTCAGTCTTGCCCCCCTGTTAAAATCCCCATTCCTTCACAAGTACGTTCCACGTTTCTGATCCAACTTGCCCAAGAATTTGCGATTTATCTACTGGATTTATTCTGAAATAAATCTCATCCCTCATCCCTCGTGCCCCGGGCTCTTAGTTCTATCTTACTCAATATCTTCTATTACTACTTCTGTTTACTCTGTTAACTGAAGCTGCTTCAGCTGTCCTTAATCCGAAACCCATTGTTTAATTATTCCTAAACATACAGGGCTACTAAGTATAACCTCAAATAAGCGGATCTTTGTTTTCTTTCAAATCTTTTCCCTCTCCTTGAATAAATATGGGCAAGCTATTGACAGATGTCGAAGGGTTTGAGACGTAAATCAAAATCGATATTTTGGCTCATAGATTCCGAAAAGTTCTCTTCCACACAAAAATGAATTGAGTCTAATATAATCGCTTCTGGACTGTACAGAAAATGTACCCCCATTGATTTTCGATGAATTTTAAAGCGCGTTGCACAGAGACTGATTTTTTGGCTATCTAATTTTTTTGTATAAGTTAAGGCTAGTTGCTTTCCAATCTTTTATCATCAGACAGAACAGTTCATCGTCCTTTCTCATTCTAATATTGTATTGAATGTGTAGATCCTCCATGCATATTGGCTAACGATATCAACATATCTGGTAGCATGTTATCTATTATGCGTTCTGTAAAGCTCTTATTTCAAAATGTGCCCCCTACAAATCTTCCTTCGATCACACGCTTTGAGGGGCCCCTCGTAACATGCGCTCGTGAACCACTATAGTGGGTGCTCGATGAATATGTCAAGATATTATTCTGGAGTGTTCCGAGACACCAGGTGACAGGGAATTATGGACTAATGAGTGCCGATGAGGGAAAATCTCTGCCTTTTTAGGCCACTCTAAACCCCTACTCTTATCTGAATCTCGATAAAAGTGGAGAGTGGGATTAAATTTTAGAGAAATCCTGACAGAGAATATGTACTATAAAGTAGCACAGGACGAATTGTTTGTACAGCAATGAGGAAGTTTAAGTGCCACAGACTCATCGGTAATAGAAGCTTTCCTAACCAGCGTGTTTCTCGACTTGACAGGACAGATTTTATGTGAGCTGTAGGTTCGTGAAGAAAGCCACTAGTTGCTATGTTCTCATACCCCTAAATCTATGAATAAATACCGCTCTTTCACGAAAAATCCTGGTAGGTTGATTCCTTCACTGGTAGTAGTTGAGGTACTGAAATAAATATTACTGCGATAAAACTGGCAATCTTAGGATTGTTGTGTCGCTGGATGACGGTGCATCCCCGCCCTTATAATTATACGTACCAATTTTCCCAAGCGGAATACACCTATTACAGTGTATCAACATCCAGGGCAGTCAGTAGCCGCCCCTAGTCATTTGGCTGGAGCTATCTAGCAGTTAATGCTTTCGAGAACTTTACACGGTCCCTCAAACTTTAGCCTCGATCTCGGCTGTTTCAGCTTCAGCTTATCTTTACCAAGGCCGGAGAATTCAGCCTTATCAAACTCTGGTACTTAGCCTCTAGATTGTATTCTATTAGCTTTCGAGCTAGCCCTTCCAGTAAATTGTTGACCATGGTACAACGTTACGTTTCAAAGATTAGGGTTATACCCCCGTCTTATAATATAATATGAGAGTTGTTTTCGTCATGAAAGCCCCAAGCGATTGCATTGGTCTTCGTGTAGTTACTAATCAGATGTACATCACTTTGTGGAGTCTTCCCAAAAAGGCGTTCATACTTTTGCTTAGTTCCTAAGGATGCTGCTTTTGTAAGACCTCTTATAGCTATGTCTATGACGATGCTGGGGTAATTGGTGGTGATGTCTGTTTTCATTGGATAGTTTATCAGCATTCGTATTTCATTAAAAATTTGAGCCATGACGAAAAATTGCGTGGTTGGTGTATGTCTTCGCTTCTAGACTGATCGAATACCCCTGCTACCGTTGGAGCCTGCAAGCGTCGAAGCTTCCTCAAAAACTTTGAGTTTAGAGGTTTCTCTGTATGAGAAGATCATCCATAGACGCTAGAAGACGGGGAGGTTTTAAGCCAGATCTAATAACAGACGGGCATTAATATCGTTGACCCGGGGGTGGCACGGCTATAGGTTGTTGAAGACTAAAGCGTGCCGAGATTTACTCTTACAAGCAAGTGAATTAGATGGTCGCGTGGAAAATTCTGGTAGCTTGTAGCCAATTTGTATCCCCTAATCTGACAGAATGTACGCCGCTTGAAATGCAGCGGAACAAACCTCAAGAGATCACACAGAAATTGGTCTAAACAATAACATAGAAGCTGTACGTCTAATAACCTTAAGGGGACGAAACTCCAAACCTGTCAGTGGTATTCCCAACGAACCTCAAGCTCTCGCTGTAGGGTCTGCAAAGCCGAGATGAACTAACACCTTTTAAATTTTGAGCTGAGTTATCTCCCCCTCCGTCAGAGATACGCTTCCGATAAATCATGAGACGACCGAGACGACGATAATGATGCTGGGAATGAGGAAAGATAATGCGCTACCAAACACCGCAACGGTAGTCAGAAAAGCCCTCGTCATATCACAAAAAGTGCTTCCCACCGGCGGGCGAACAAAAAGCCCACGGAAGCAAAGCAAAAGACCCTTCCGCCCGCGAGAAAAGCAGAATTCGACTCGTCAACAATATCGTTCCTTATCATCTTTAATTCCGAATCTACTAGCTAGGAGGGCATCTAAAATACATGAGTTACCCAACGACCCCACGTCCGTAGCGGCTTTTGAATGCTGGGCTAGGCTCCTTCACGACAGTCACTCTCGACCAAGACTTTTCCGACATCCTTTCACGACCTTCGGTTTGCCCAGCGGCATGAATCAAGGGAGGAGGAGGCTAGGAAGGGTGAGAGATACTCTTAGATACACACTGGTCTGCTGCGCTCGCTGGCCGACCTCTTCGTCATATGAGAGCCCCACAGCCAGTGGTTTTTGAGACTTTTCGCTGGAGCTACACACCCGCAAATGGCCATCGTTTCGTTGGCTAGAGAGGGGAGATAATGACGGGATAACGGCTTCTCTTAGCGTGTACTCGAATGAAGACCTGTGGGGGTATTACTGCTGGAAAGGAGACGTGTGGGGAAGTGCATGACGTGCTTAGATTTAACTCGGGAACAGTAATCTATGCCTTGATTATTAGGCACAAGACTAAATATAATCAGGCCTTAGCCAATGAAAGTGGCTACATCATGTGACAGTTATTCGATATAAACATGAAATGGCGACGGCAACACCGTTAAATCTTATATGGTTGATTTGTTATAATTACTATGAGAATTTTATGCGTGTGCCAAGAAGAGATCGATATAAGGCGAATATATTTCTATCGAGTATCGAATATCCAAATGGCGAGTGCGCACTGTATTCCGAGATCAGATTCTAACCGCCTGCCCCTGGCACGAGCTTTAGTAGCTGTATCGTCCGCCTGCCGATAGCATCTTGCCATGTCGCCAGTAGTTTCCTGCATTCTGCCTCGAGACGAACCGAGGTTTCGCGCCCACACTTGCCCTGTCGTCGGATAGAATCATAATTCCAGCGACGGTGGCAAACAGAAAAGTCGCCGAGGTCTTTTTGGGCATCAACAGTTCGAGTGCATCTTGCTATGGGAAGCGCAAGTTCTGTAAGCTCTTTGCGGCTGGTATGGTTGTGTATATATTTGGTAACTAATAATGCACTGCAACATCTTACCTGAGCGCATTACTCTATCTAGTCCTGAATTCTTAGCTTCATGGCGCTTGGGGTGGAGTAGCCTTTCAGCCAAGTCATTTATTTCTGCTAGTATTGTGCCGATTCCATTGTGCGATAATTCTAATAGAACAGAATTAAGTTTTATGAGATGAAGATTTTCAATCGGTTCCATAAATTTTTATAATTTATTGACCTCTGATAGAGTTATATTTAAGTTATTGAATCAGATCAGTCATGTATGTAAAATCACATGCGAAAGCCGTGAGCTTGTCACAGAGACGAGCTAATTGCGCTTCATGCAGGGTATGGGAAAGAAATTACTAAAAGATATAGTGCAGTCTTTTAATGACTGTTTAAAATTAAAAAAGAAAAACACCCCCCCCCCATTAACATTACTACGGGCTAAAATTCATTCTTTACAATCACTTATCATTTGTAGATAAGCCATTAATCGAGTCCATGCTCTCCTTTAACTTTTCAATCAAATTTACAAAAAGAGTATCGTACTTCCGGCACCCATGAGAGATATATTTAGAACACCAATCACTAACCAGATCCAAGCGGTTGGATTTGGTCTAGCAGTCGCAGAACTGTGCTTCTTCGAGGCACTTCCAGTTGATGTGGCAGCTGATTCAAACCCACCACTCGCGTTTAGGTCGGTAGTAGTGGCAGCAGTGGGCTGTGCCGATATTATCATAGAATCTGTAGTATCTGGTCTAGGAATACTGCTGGCAGTTTGAGTAACTTGGGCTTCATTTTGAGCGGTTCTGGCATTTGGAATGGGAGCACCAAAACTAGGAAATGGAACAACGTTACTACCAGTGGCGTTGAAGTTTGTTTGAGCTAAGGCAATGCGATTATTGATCAAATCGTAGACAGTGTAGGCGGAGCGGAGGAATGTATCTCCGAAAAGCACAGGTAAGGAGCCAGCGGCTTGGATACCAAGTTGGCACGCAGGTTGGCCATTCTTAAATGTTGTACCACGCCCTTTGGAATCGGTTAGAGGCAAGACAAGATCTGAAACCTCTACTTTGATGATGGGTCCACCAGGGCCTCCAAACCCATAGTTAAGAGTGCCAGAAGCTTGTGCAAGAGCGCAAGGCACAACAACGGCACCTATTTCAGGTTCCGGTATAGCACCAAGTTCTTCATAGACTAGGGCAGCTATATCATCGGGAAGCAGGGTGATTGTCGTCCCAGAATCAAGGATTGCAGCAACGGCATAGTCGGGAGGGGTTAGTTGATCTGTTCCCGATGATGAGGTTGCTGAAAGAGATGTAAATGCTACTGTGAACGAGGTAACTCCAAGTCGATGAGAAGTTGGATATACGTCGACAGATATTAAGTCTCCATTGTACTTTGCAGTATCAATGCCTCCAAAAAGGATAGATCCAGAGCTTGATTCTGCAAGGATTTAGCTAGTAGTCTTTGCTGTATTCTGCAAGTGGGATAAACTTACGTAGGTCGTTGAGCCACAAGCTATATGCTGCGGAATTTATTTTGTTCTGGTTGACCATAGCGATGGGCAAGTTCTGATAAATTGTTCCATTTCCACCATTCCGTACATTTACGTTGGCTTCAGAATTATTGTAGCCGATTCCCATGATACCAGTTCCAATAGTTGTATCTCGTGCGAGACCCATTTCAAACTGAGAGAGTGTGGCACCGCCAACGCTGAAGTTATCCTGAAAATAATCACCCTTTGCGCCGGTTCCGTCCACGTAAGATATGTTAAATTCATCGGGACCAACTACTTGGAATGAACTAGACTGAGACGGTAGATCTAGATTACACAAAAATTAGACTGATTCAAGCGTTTTAGGTGAAGTTTTTCATGGTGGTACGGGCAACTAACAACTCCCAGTAGAGCAATCTTTTTTTGAATGTTCACAAAGTGATGAGATGCTACTAGGCGCCCAAGTATCAGAGCTTCCTGTGTCAATCTGTAATGCTAGATTCTGGGGTGGTGTTCCAATCGTTACATTAGTAAAGTAGAGTCCACGTGTGAGTAGATTTTCTGCCGATGCAGTCAAGGTTGGACCACCACGTTTAGAAAGGTTATGCTCGGCCCTGCGCTGAAGTTGAGCATTTCGAGAGTCAATATCCTGACGAATATCTAATTTGACTGTTGATGTGGAGCTCAGCACAGCGAGTGAGAGAAGCACTAGACAATATCGAGATGTCATTTTTGTTGAGGGAAAGATCCAAATCTGAAGGTTGTGATAGCCCCAAAATTAGGGAGGGTAAAGGTAGAGTTATAGGAATAGTGGTTGAGGAGACTGGATCCAGCGTTTAGGAGATGTCCACAGGCAGTTGAAGCCCACTTAACGTTGAAACTTCCTCTTCGTCGCCGTCGTCGCAGTATGTGACAGGAATGAATCTCCCATATCCATAAACATATGTTAGACAGAATCCATGTGGAAAAGTCAGGGATAATTATGAATCGATGACTTGGTTGAAACGAACGACGAGATAAATTCGAACCTCCACCGTGGAACGCACAGTTTTTGTAGGTATAGCCTAGACGGACCCAAAAGCTTATCCTCGCAAAGATCTCCCTGCTGACAGGGCTAGCGCCTCATGGCCTTATCCATTACTGGATCCTCGTCTAGATACGGTATATCTACGTGATGGGCACTGAAGTAACGGATGTTTCTGCGGAAGGAGATTTTGGGGCAGACCGAATAGACGTTGATGACCGGTGGCTAATGTCAAGTCTGAATCTCTGTTGTCTGGTTTGATTTACACTGAAGTTAATAGGTAGAGTTGATCATTTGATGTCCCCATAAACGAGTTTGTATAGGCGTGTCCATCAGCCCCTAGATAGTGGACCGTGGACCAATGAAAGGTAGGATTAGTCTTAAGCTCGCTTCGCTTGGCCCTTTCCGATTCGATTATACCCACGGTCCAGATTCCGCCGCATAACCTAGGCTAGGATTCGGAAGTAAATCACGTGCACTCGTATCGCTGAAACATTCTGCTTCAGTGCCCCGGAAATGACCCACAGTTACCCTCGCAACAACGGCAAGACTGACTAGATTTATTGAAGAGCTCACTAGCCGACGAGTGTCAAGTTTTCACAGACTGCACTGCCACGACGTTGGCTATCCGGGGTCAATCTTGTGAGTCTGCTTTGGGTCAAACCAAAACAGCTAAATTCTAGCTGTAGCCACACAGGGAGACGCGATATCATGCGCCTTCCTCAAGGTCTGTTTCGGGGCAGGTGAGAACTAATTCAGCATAACTCTACACAGAAAATGTCAAAGGGTGCAACCGTATTGCGGCTGATGGTAGTGATAGTGCTGATATTGCCAGTATGTATGGTAAATGCTTACAATGCAGCTCCTTTCGCTATCCGTGCCCCTATCTTTGCGGAGATTTAGAAATTGTGCCTGAGACTTTAAAATTGAATTCACCGATCGAACATTCCATAATATTTACAAGAAGATCATCATGATGTATTTTCGAAGACGTATCGAGGCGTTTTGGTGGCCAGCGAAGCCCAGTCTTTTCTTAATCATGTCTTTTCGCTGCGAGGCAAGCAATAGATAATGGCAAAACTAGAAGTGCAAGAAAAATGAGACAAAGTTATATTTGATAGTATCGTTCTCTACACGATCCGAGTCGTATCATTTTCTTTATTCAGTGACAGCCTTAAATGAAAGCAAACTAGCTTTAAGATGTCATGCTGGTCTGATATACTTGTACTGGTTATTTATGGTCGGTGTATGAGGCTATGGAGATTTCACTGAAGCCGTGCTACAAGGATTACGCTTTCCCCCATTTCACCATTCACCAGTAATTTGCAGTCACTCGAAAATCTCACCAACCCAATCTATACACGCCAGCAAGGAGAGACTTAAATCCTACCTTTTCTGGCATTGGTTCCGCAGCGGATTTCATTATTCTTACCTTTAACAGACCACGATACGGAAACATGTTCGAGATATGTCATTGCAACAAAACTTGGAGCTTTCGTCGAGCTTTGAACCGTCACTGACCTGGCCTCAAGCTCTCAGTCAGCACCCAGATCTTCTTGAAATGGGGGATTGCTACGATAAATTGGCAGCGAGCAAAATCATTGACACTCACCCGGTAATGAACCTAAATTGTTGGATATACAGAGTTTAATAGTATATCGAGAACCTAGCATGAGACGGTACAAGAATTGAATCTATGCAATGGAGACGGAGTTGGGGTTTCCAGTGATGTCAATAATCTAATAGTATGACGAAAAGATTCTGCACTAGGCAAACTCCGGGGGCTTGAGAGAGAGCTACCTGAGACAATGGCAGTATTGAGGGCCTGGGTGTAGAAGATTTCAGCTTGAAATTGAATCACTGCTGCGTGTAAAGGGTGGAGTTTTGGAAGGCTAGATTCATCGTTGTTCCATCAAAAGATCCGACAAAGTCAATTGGATCCGACCTGGCCTTAATTTTTCTTGACTCATCATCGTAGACCCTACAACCTGATTAGCTTAGACCATGATGTGGATTTGGTAATTTAACCTCTTCAACCTAGAACCAGAGATTTTTAACCCTTGTTGAGTGGGATGAAGACTTTAAATCTGTAAGTGCTACTTCCCACGACCCCAAATCTCCTACCTAAGATTCTATCGAGTCAGGTCGAGGCACACGCTGATTAGGAGAGCTTCCGCTGTCGATGAGTCTTAGCTATTCACTATTCCTCAAGCATGTACAAATAATTCATGCCATTCTAATTTATAGTACATACTCTCTGTCAAAACTTCTCTGAAATTTCATCTCAATCTTTGCTTTTACTCGATCTAGTTCTGGCCTTGAGATCGAAAGAGTGCCGCGCCTAATGGGATTTGCGGATTTTTCCTAGCTGCTGCACGCCCGCATCTAGCCCTTGCTTCTTTTTTTCAAGAGATGAGATTGTAAATAGCAATAAGCTCCAATTTACGGTCAAATGGGGTTATTACTTTGGGCTGGAAGAGATAGTAGATGCACAGGCGTTATTAGCCAGTCGAGGTGAGAGACCTGTTTGTATTTTCTGCTCCAAGACTAAGGATGTGCAATAATTTATTCGTAAAAATAAAACTTGAGGAGCAAATTTCTGCCATTAGTCCCATCTGAGAATGGGCTAGTGGTTTCTTGCAATATCATAGACTGGGTGATTATACCAAGTACAGAACGTATCCAACGAAAACAGCGTATCGATAAGAACTCAGGAGTTATTAACAGGGAGTACCGTTCGGTTACGTGCGAAGGTTATTAGAGTGAATGAGTGTTTATTGTCCTAACGAGTCTATGACTATGAAAGGACATGAAATTCCTTTCTGCCTACAGGCCCGGAGTATCTATGCCTCGGGTAGTCTACTCCCCCTATGCCTCCTTCACGACTCCTTTCCAGCAGTAATACCCCCACAGGTCTTCATTCGAGTACACGCTAAGAGAAGCCGTTATCCCGTCATTATCTCCCCTCTCTAGCCAACGAAACGATGGCCATTTGCGGGTGTGTAGCTCCAGCGAAAAGTCTCAAAAACCACTGGCTGTGGGGCTCTCATATGACGAAGAGGTCGGCCAGCGAGCGCAGCAGACCAGTGTGTATCTAAGAGTATCTCTCACCCTTCCTAGCCTCCTCCTCCCTTGATTCATGCCGCTGGGCAAACCGAAGGTCGTGAAAGGATGTCGGAAAAGTCTTGGTCGAGAGTGACTGTCGTGAAGGAGCCTAGCCCAGCATTCAAAAGCCGCTACGGACGTGGGGTCGTTGGGTAACTCATGTATTTTAGATGCCCTCCTAGCTAGTAGATTCGGAATTAAAGATGATAAGGAACGATATTGTTGACGAGTCGAATTCTGCTTTTCTCGCGGGCGGAAGGGTCTTTTGCTTTGCTTCCGTGGGCTTTTTGTTCGCCCGCCGGTGGGAAGCACTTTTTGTGATATGACGAGGGCTTTTCTGACTACCGTTGCGGTGTTTGGTAGCGCATTATCTTTCCTCATTCCCAGCATCATTATCGTCGTCTCGGTCGTCTCATGATTTATCGGAAGCGTATCTCTGACGGAGGGGGAGATAACTCAGCTCAAAATTTAAAAGGTGTTAGTTCATCTCGGCTTTGCAGACCCTACAGCGAGAGCTTGAGGTTCGTTGGGAATACCACTGACAGGTTTGGAGTTTCGTCCTCGACTATTGGTAATCTTCCACTGCGCATAATTAAATAAAATCGACTTATTCAACATCAAATTGGTTGCGCACAACACTCAGAAGATTCTATCCATTAGATTATCTATCCCATACACGCACACCATTATACTTATCCTGGTTTCTTATAACCCGTCAAATCGAGCAGCACTATGGCTGCGCACAATCAGCCGTCGTGCTCGGCGTCAATCGATCCAGGCGACCAACTACACCCGAGCCTTCTTGGGATTGCTGCTGCGATGGGGCAAACAGAGCGCTAAAGAATACAGAGAGTGACCCTAGCTCAAGATGTTCTGCAAAATATCGATGCCTGGGCGAAATCCAAGGCAGGAACTGAAGGCGCGGTTCTAGTCGCGCCTTTCATCAAAAAAAAATCACCTACATTGACAGCGTTTGTAATAGGAAAGACCGATGCTACAGTCCCCAAAGACAAGACCCCACACCCCGAAGTCACGGAGATAACAATCTCTGTGCCTAGGGCGGCAAAAACAAGCGATAAATGGCACCTCCAACTGCCCCAAAAGCCACAGGAGACTGCAAACCCGTTGGTTACAGTAGCTCGGAAAGCGGCTAAGCTCCCAGATCCACCCGCGTTCCCCACCCCTCGAAGGCCCACTACAGATGTAAAGCCCAATGCACAAAACCCCCCAAAAGAAGACAAACGTCTCTTTGTCAGATTGGGGCAAAAACATGCCTGGCGCAAATTGTCTCCAGTCACAATAAAGAAGATGATCACTGAGGAAGCGGGAGTTGCAGCATCTGCGATCACGGCTATGCATCAGGTTCGATCAGGCCTAGCACTGCAGTGCGCATTAGACGGGCTTCGAGAAACAATACTGGGAGTTGCAGGATTATTTCAGCAAGAAAATATCTGCATCGAAGCAGCGTCGGATTGGACGTCAATGATAGTGCCACACGTACCACTATACATCAGAACACTCGAAGGCAGTATTTCGGTAACTAGCGAAATGGTTACAACGGAATGTCAAGCTAGATGTGGGGTCACACCAGTGCAGGTGCGACCGAACCCAGCTAGGCTCGGACAATATTCCACGAGCTGGATTATTCACTTCAAACAGAAACCGGCAAACTGTAAGTTCAGGCTCTTCGACGAAAGCGGACCTGCAATTCCGTTCGTTCGCCAACGCCCTATGGAACAGTGTCAGAGATGCTGGGGATTTCATAACATACGGTCTTGCACTAAAGGACAAAGGTGCGGAAGATGCAACGGAGTACACGAGACAAATGAATGTCAATTCAAGGTACCTAAATGTGCAAATTGCGCAGGTCCTCACGAATCGACCAACCTGAAATGTATGGCGCGACCTAGGCGCTAGAACAGAATATTCCACCCCCGCACACCAGCGGAATTAAGATTTATTCGAGAATATGGACATCGTGACTTTCAGGGTGCACTAGCAGAGTCGGAGAAAAAGAGTAAGGCCCCAGAGGTCGTGTTCACCCCGGAAGACACGATGCAAAATTAATGAGTTGTACGACCACAACTCATAACCACACCGAACAACAACACGCTCGTCTATTTCACCAAGTGAACGTGGGAAAAGGCGGAGAGAATATGGATATCGCACTTCAGCAGGCATGGGAGGCCGGAGTTCATATTGTCATGGTACAGGAACCATGGACAATGCAGACAAACGGAGGACTTATCATAAAAAGTCACCCGGGCTTCAACAGTTACAAGCCGACGGGAGCAGCTGGGACCTGCCCGCGAGCAATGAGCTTCGCCCGTAAAGGTTTATCGGCAACGCAAATATTCCCTTCATCCCAGGATCAAACCGGCGATTACTGCTTTGTGAAAGCCTGCGGAGTGACGTTTGTTAATGTATATCGTGCACCGGGACTTAATGATACCCTCGATCCTTTGCTTAGATGGCGCCCCTCAGGTCCTGCAATTGTAGGGGGGGACTTCAACGTCGTCTCAAGGCACTGGCAACCACAGGCTACTCGTCAGTACGGTAATGGTGACCAAATTATGGAATGGGCTACAGCTCAGGATATGCATTTACTTACCACTATTGGTGTACCTACACATAGGGATGGAAATGTGTTGGATCTTGTATGGAGCAACGTCACAGTAGAGGCATTGGTATCACGCGAGTATAACTGTACATCAGACCATATGACAATCGTTGGGTCCGTTGAAGCGAGACGAAAGCCCGATATGTCTAGAATTAGCCAGGAACTGCGGCTACGCGATCAAGACCTTGCCAAGTTTGCCCAGTATGTCAAAGCGTGGGTCAGACCAGGCCCTTTGAACAGCGTAAGTGACATTGAATGCCAGTTATCAAGCTTGACGGAGGCTTTGGGTGACGCACGAAAGGCAGTAGGTTACAAACCTGCAAGAGCGCGAGGAAGCACAGCTCCGTGGTGGAATGAGGACTGCAAACTTAAGCACCGCGAGTACCATGAAGCTAGAAGCTGCCCAGACATCGAGGCAGAAGTGCGGAAAAAGTTTAAGCATGCAGTTAGAGCGGCAAAAAGAGATCACTGGAGGAAGCAGGTTGAGAATGCTACGACAGACTCACAAGTCTTCAAATTGATGCAGTAGACAAAACCCAAGATAGGCCGAGATCCTCCCCCCCTTCAAATCGTGGAGGACACGTGGACATTAGACCCACTCAAACGAGCAGAAGCTCTAAGGGACTCTCTTCTCACCAAATTTAACGCGGCACACGATCTCCCCACGTGAGAATCGGAACAAATAGAGTCGATCCCGTGGAATGCGACAATATCACTAGAGGATGTAACGACAAGTACTATTGGCTCAGGCAACAAGTCCCCAGGTTCAGACAAGATAACAGTGCGACTGCTGAGAGCATGCTGGCCAGCCATTGGGCGACAGGTAAAGAACATCTTTCAAGCGTGTTTAGAGCATGGGCATTTTCCTACCATATTCCGAATAGCAGAAATCATCATGCTTCCAAAACCAGGACGGGACGTAGCAATAGCTAAAGGATGGCGACCGATCTCCCTTCTCTCTTGCTTGGGCAAAGGGCTAGAACGAATATTAGCCAAAAGAATGGCATGGCTAGCGATCGAACATCGTATTGTCCCTCAACAGTTTTTCGGCGCACTCCCAGGACGCTCAGCAGTCGACCTTGTTTCATGTGTCATACATGATGCAGAGGCGGCAATGCGGAACAACAAGGTCACAGCAATGATTACCCTAGACGTGCAGGGCGCAATTGATGCAGTTCTTCACAAACGGCTGTTACACCGGATGAGAAACCAAGGGTGGCCCAGGCTATTATGCCGATGGGTCGAGTCATTTTTGATCCGACGAAGGATACGAGTTCGACACCAGGATGGAATGACCCGAGACAAAGTCGTGGAGTGTGGGGTCCCGTAAGGCTCGCCACTATCACCACTACTATTTCTCCTGTACATTTCCATTCTATTCAAAAATGGGAGCTAGGTCAACAAGTTTGGGTACGCAGACGACATCGCCATTCTCACCACTGGAAGCACAGCAGCTGAAGCGGTGGAAAATAGTCAAGCAGAAGTGGAGAAGCTTTTGCGGGTTGCAAAAGAGCGTGAAATACGTTTTGACTCGTCGAAGTCTGACCTAGTGATAATTGGAGGGGGTCCTAAGAAAAAGCTGGACACGACAGGCTTATCTATCTAGATCCAAGGCAACAAGATAATACCTTCCCCATATATCAAATGGCTTGGGGTATGAATAGACTCCCAACTCAACTTCAAGCAGCACGTGCAAGAGTGGTGCGGGAAATCTCAAAGGCTAACGCAGCTTATACGGCGAATCAACAGCGTTAAACGGGGCGCAGGCCCGCAACCAATGATCAAGGCAGTACAGGCATGTATCATAAATACAGCGATGTATGGAGCCGAAGCATGGTGGCCGGGCTTGACCCGGGTCGCCACTAATTGGAGCAAGAAAGTGAGCACGGGAAAAGGCTGGCATACTGATCTCTTTGACAGTACGATTATCAAGGCAATCCGGGCAGCACTACCGGCATGGCGAACTACCCCGAACAAGGTTCTCCACAGAGAGTCTGGTATCCCCCCTGCAGCAATCACCCTTCAGCAAAGGCAATTGAGAGCTGCGGCGCGAATTCAACGAATGGACTTGTGGCATCCTCTGGTAGCCAGATCCCAAGAAGTTCCAAAGGAAACCATAAACCGCCTAGGACTCCGCGCAGGACAGAAGAACCGATCGTTCAAAAATCCAGAGCGCTACCTGACACGTTTGCAGACCAGCATTCAGAACATACCGCTCGCTGTGGAGTCCAGAAGACTTTTCTACCCAGCATCGGATCGCAGCTACCAACCAGCGACCTAGACAGGGAGTCTGAAGCCACTCTAGCCAAACAATGGATAGAGTACTTGCCAGCCGACACTACATGTGCGTACCCAGATGGCTCATCCTGGGGGCTGGCAAAATCTGCATGGGGCTATACTCTATTCAGAGGACGAAAAATGATTGGGAGCGGCGCAGTCCCTTTGCTTGGTGCAGAGACTTATGACGCAGAACTCTTGGGAGCCTAGAAAGCCCTCGAAGCAGCTCTACTGGTGGCTGGCAGCAACTCAATCAAGGTACTCTTAGATAGTTTATAAGCTATCCAGGCCTTACGCAGTGGTAGGTCTAGATCTTTACAGAGAATAGTCGACAAATTTGTCAAGGACTGTCAGCAACATCGGTCAGTGGAAATTCGGTGGATACTAGGGCACTCAGGGATCGAGGGAAATGAGATGGCAGACAAGCTTGCCAAAGCCACTCTAATTAAAGTCCCAAATGAGGTGACCAACGAGCCACTCCCCATGGAGGTGCCCGCAGAATAAAATTTACGTTTGCATCACTCCACAGATTTGTCAGGGAGCTCACGGAGGGACTAGTAGTAGCATGGTGGCAAAAAAATGCGCCAAAGTACTATATGGACTTAGATCTCATGATGAACAGGAAGCGACCTCCAGAACTTGCTCTACCGAGATGGGCCTATCACAGGCTGATTGCAGCAAGGACTGGGCACGGCGATTTCGCCAAATACCATGAAAGATTCAAGCATGAAAATTTCGAAGCCAAACGCGAGTGAGGTCGAGAAAGACGCCCTTGGCACTTTGCAGAATGTCGACCGGCCCTACAACGGTGGAGAGACATGAAACGGGAACCTCCCCCGAGGGCAATTGAGATGCTTGGAGGAAAAGGGTGGGAAAATTTTATCGAATTTGCAACTGTAACGAGATGTTACAGGGAGAAGGCCGTAGATGGAGAGTCATTGTGATGGGAAACGCAATCAATATTGCGGTCACGTGGAAGAGTTTTTTTTTTTTTTAATCATTAAGTGTATGCAGCCTAACTAGCTATGACACTGCGTGGAAGAGTTTACACGCGTACGCGATTGTATATAATATCCCTTGTCCTTTCCTAGATCCCTTTCTTCTGTGTAGACAATCTTATTCACCAGATTAGACCTCGTCAATCTTCCTCTTGACCATCCCTCAACAGTCATAAGCTCCCCCAGGGGTATCAGTGGTTATTTTAGTAGTCAATTCCTGGGAAGAATAGGGCACGGTGCAGGGCGCTTTTGTTTGGACACACTGTATTGTTTTCTTATACTTATTTCTCATGGTTTCTTCGGCAAGTAAAGCCATGCACGTAGGTAGTGGTGAGTCTGTATAGATCACATAAACCTTATCACGCCTATTGGGTGTAGGGCACATGCCTGATACGAATAGCAATCAAAATCAAACATCAAATTGGTTCAAGTCACCGCTTAAGGGCATTTGGTGTACCGATGAAAATGAATTTCATTTAAATAGGTAATTAAAAGAAAACTTATAACTGTCATGAAATATCCTAAAGTAGAGTCCTTTGCTCCCTTAGACCCCCAAATTCAACCGCCTTCAAGACAAACTCCTAACGATCCGCATCCGAATAACTAGTCCGTTAACTTATACCTATCATTCCAGAAATTTTGTGTATATATTCTTACATGTGGTAATTAGAACCATCTCTCGATCGCTTGAACCCTTTAAAATGATGCTGGTAGTCCTGTAAAACAGAATCTTTCCCGTGATGGTTCCTCATGTCTAAGATAGAATCATAATGCGGATGTTGATCTAGTCAAAGATGATTCTATCAAGGTGTCTGGATATGCAGCATATTTCTTCATGGTGCTACCTTTGCATTAGTAGTCAAATTGAGGTTTAAGCGCTTATGATACCCTACTAAATAGCGTGGCAGATGTATAGCTGTTGTCAAAAAATCTAGTGCTAACCTGAAGTATAACGCCTCAAAGAGACTGATTTGTTCGAAAAACGCTTAGAATATCGGAACAGCTGTTTATATAGCGTCTAGGGTAATCTGTTGGTTACCACACTTTATAGATCAACTGCCGAAGTGGACTATGATTCAGCCTTAGCACTGGACTTTTGGCTTGATTTGGCACTTGTTTCAGTTTCGCTTTGCGCTTCAGCGCCTTCGGGAGCTTCTTCTTCGTCATCCGCAGATGCCGTGCCTCTAGAGCCAGAACCATCTCCGCCGTTGCCTCCACCTTCTCCTCCTGCACCCATCAAACCACCAGCTAGTGGCATAGCCAGAAAAGGTACAGTACCGGCGAGGTTTGCTGCAACTGCAGACCCTCCACCACTATTTCCACCGCCTTGATTTTTTTGACGAACTTCGTTTTGATCAAATTCATCATCGGAATCATCAACTCCGCCTTTTTTCTTTGTAACAGGGATATTGTCGCCTGCGGCCCCGGAAGCAGGGGTAGGACCAGTACCTTTACCACCAGAAGTATTGGAAAGATCCCCAGCCGCTGGAAGACCTGCTGAAATTGCAGACCCGGTGGTGGCTTTGTTTCCAACAGCAGGTGTTTTGGTGTCTAAGGGAGTGTCGATACTTTTGTCGCCACTTATTGCTGGGCTAACTTTATCGGTTGTTTTAGCGGGCTTTTTTCTGCTAAATTTATCACGAATTTTGCTTCCTGACGTAGAAGTCTTGACTTTATTAAACTTTGACCCCCTTGCTTTAGGGGTCCGAGTTTTACCAAGACGACTGGCTCCCCTGCCAAGAGATGGAGCTTTTCTGAGCCCTCTAGATGATCCACCAATTCTCCTGGTTCTGCCCAGTCTCCTGCCCAAACTGCCCGCTAGTCTGGCAAAGCCAAGGCCGGCGCGTTTAGTAAGGCTTGGTCGATTTTTTGATGAAATCTCGTTCGATTGGTTATGAATTTCCGAAGCAGCTTTATCCTGTGCTAATTTCTTCGAATTGTCTCCTTCTCTCTGCTATAGCACGGAGTTAATCGTGTGATAAAAGCTTCATTTAGTAAAAATAATTCTTACCAGTATGTGCGTATCTGCTGCATCGGAAAGGTTGATAGTTTCCTGCGCTTCTGTATATTCGAATTCCTGAACGTCTGACTTGACGGAAGCTTCTGTTTTTTGGTTCCAGAGCAAGTTGGAAAGTGGTGGAATGAGATTTAGCTCGATATCGATGCTTTCTTTCTCGGTGTCGGTCCGGTAATTGTTTTTATCGAGCTGGATAGCGTTATCGCTGGGCTTTTTTAAGAATAAGCTATTAGCGTTAGGTCTCATCTCCGATGAATTACCTACCTTATTGCATGAAACCTTATCTCCTGAAAGACTAGGTATTTCAGATTTAGTGATAGCTGTAGGCACTGCAGAATTAGATAGGGTTGAGACGGCCGAGCATATTATTTACCGAAACTATCAGGTATTAATACTTAGGTTGAGTCATAGGAATTAATTATTGCTTACAGAGATAAGACAGAGGGAAAGAAGAGATAAAGAACGACTACTTTTTGAGGGTACATGGCGCAATATTTTGCGGATATAAATTGTAAAAGAGCGTATAAAAAGTGTATTCTCCTAACGTTGGTTATTTGAGACTCAGATAATCATAGATAGGTGGGAGTGTGCTATATTCATGCCCTTATTAAGAATCGACCCTTAAACGCCATGTATCGAGGATTTCGGGCTAGTTATAGTGGGAAGTTTCATCGAGTTTATAGAAGACTCATGTTCGAATATTAAACCCTGTATAAAAATAGATTGGGCCTCACAGGGCCAAAAGATTGACTCGTACTTTGAATGCAGTTTCTTCACTTTTAGTTGCACACACATGGGGAAAATCTTCCAAGGGATCCATGGCATGTTTAGAGACAATTTAGATTAAAATTTACATGCGATAAGATGAGAATGTAACGATAACTGTTGAGACAGTAGATTTGCAGTAAGGTCCGAATGTTAAATAACACATCTGGTGATGTGATTTAATCTACTGCAAACGGAGGACTGCCAGCACTCTAAATTGCTATATTGTTCTTACACCAGATAGTGTTATAATGACATTTATCTTCTTATTCCGCCAGTCATCTAGTAATCTTCAGATATTTTATATGCACAGTCTAGAGAGGATGATAAATTGGGACGAGTTGTGGATGCGTTCCATCCCGATCGGTGAGCATGAGTGTTTCTGTGGCCGGATCGTGTGTTTCGATTCAAGGGACGCCCTATACATCATATTTGTGGGCTTGTGTGCGTCGAATGTGTTCTGAATAGGAGTAATTTCTGGTAATGCCTGGATTCTTGTGATCTGACCAATGTGGAAACATAACTAGTCGTGTGCTGGCGAGAGGCTTCCCTTTGCAAGTACTGTCTCCACGGAAAATATTATTTAGACTTCAAAAATACAGATTCAAGTTATAAGCATACTATCGAGGTTTCCATCCCGCTACAAGCATTGGACAAAGCCGTACTTGATGGCGGAATTTGTAGAAAAAGCACAGTATGATGGTATAGAACTTGAGCCTGCAGTCTCCTGACTAGGGAGTTCAAGGGGCAAAGCAGTGCCAGGTCGTCTTGACACTGGGCAATTCATGATTGTTATCGATGCTGGGAACATCCAAGTTGCACCGGCGCAAAGGCGCTAACAAGAGACATCGTAAGTATCTGATAGACTTAGCTCTTACCCACAATTATAATAGCCACCAAAAGCATAAGTCAGCTAGCAGGGCATAAACTGATACAAGATGACCGAAACTGCCATCCACACCCCACATCGTCACCACTAGATTACTGAATAAAATTTCCCTGTTCGTCAAAGCAAGCCTCAGCAGAGATGGTATCCGAGTCAGACAGCATAGAGGTATGTGGAGAAACCTTTTAAATGACAGGACTATCAGCCCTACACCCCTTGAGGAAAACCCAATAGTACTTCAATTGAATGCTAAATATTGTGCTCTCCAAATATCTAATCCATTGAGATGATTTCTAATTCGCTTCAGCCCTAACTGTGATGGGTCTCATAACTGACGCGCACGAGTTCTCGACGTGTACTGAAAAGTCTAGCTACGACATATTCCCCTGCTTACTATTAAACTCCCACGAAACCCCTGTCTAACGCAAAATATGCTGCCATTAGAGTTAGGGCTCACTTCGACTGACCAAATAGCACAAGTTCTTCTAAACGAGGTGAAATACTAGAGACGATCAGGGTATCTTATCCAGATTATCAAAGATTACTTCAAGGTGTAGAAGGCAGTCCTGGTAGCGGTTATCCTATCGTTGTATGTCATCATCTTCGGAAATTCTATTGATCTGACTTTTAGTGTTCTTTGCCTTAAAAGACGAGGAACAGCTTTAGCTAGAAAGTGCACCTTAGCCAGCTTGAGTCCCAGATAGCCAAGCCCTCCCCACATTGATTACGTTGGAACCACGAATTGAATTTGAATTGAATAATTTAGCGTATCGGGCTGTGGCCCTACACCCAAGTTGCTTGACACGCGTGCGTGCTCCCGGAGGACTCACTGTCACCACTAATGCTGGCTTTATTTCACCAGAAATTTACATGATTGTGTAAAACTTAGACGGGGCTATGTGTGAATGTCATGTAAGTGGTCGAAATGTTGAAGCGATTACAAGAATGAATGATTGATTTCTCCGTGCTACGCTGGAACCTTTTTAATTTTTTTTGCATCAGATTTTAATTGCGTATGCAGCTATCTAGCTATGACACAATATCAGGGAAAAAGTACACAAAAATGACTCAATTTAAAAAAAAGCACTCATGCCTCGGATTTCATTTGCAAGTACCACTGCGAAGTTATGGCGGCTTTTTGTTCACCCCAAGTCAACTCTCATCCGTGAATACCCACCCAAGGGAACGTCTCAAAAAACCCTGAGTTATCCAGACATGCCTCCATCATCCATCAGCTTTTCTCCGCGCGAAATGTAGTCAGAGAGTTCTCTTTCTCAAGTGAAATAGGTCCCCAGGCTGCTAAAACTATAACGAAAAACACCTTCCATCGTTTGCTTGTTTTTATGGTGTCAGCTGCACTCTCGCAAGCGAAGTATTGGCGCGCACAAAGCTCAATTCGCGAATCTCCTTGCCAGAATTCGAAACCTCACGCCCGTCGATATTGTATCTATCCTCTGCTCCATTTTGTAAACTTGTCCTTATCACTCTCACGTTCATCCCAAAGAACTGTCTTTCAGATTTGTGCACCACGCTTTGCTTCCTCCGTCGGGTGTAAATATCGGCGTGGGCGTGTATTTGGTGACGAGCTGAGGCCAGAGAAAGTCGACGAGAGGTGTGGTCATTGGGATGAGGATGTACTTGGTCGTACTTGTAGACTTGGTGAGACTTGGGTAGGCGTCAAACTCGTTGGGAGCGAAAAAACGACGTGGAGGAGTAATTTGAATCATTGCCTCGTGGACCAACTTCTTTGATATTGCGAAATTTAACTGAACTTGGCTCTGGGAGAATATTTCACTCCTATGTTCGCAGAGGACAAAGCGTACAGGTGTTCGGTCTTGCCCTCCGAGCTTCTTCGTTGTTGGAGTATTAACCTGCATTCCAAGAAATGACACGGACGTCTCTCTCGGCTACGTACGCATCTACACTAAATTCCTTCGCGGTAAAACCTTCCTCGGTATCTAGTAAAGTTTTCATGACCAGTTGTAGCTGCTAAAGATGAAATTGTGAAGCTATCTGCCAGACGAATCGTTGTATTTAATGATCAAGTGTCGCATATTTGTTTCTACATGTCTTACTATTAATTGTTAATTTAAAGAAGGTACATTGAAGTGTTTTTCGAGGCATTGATTATGAATGAGTCAGTGACAAAGATAATTAGTTCATGGACTCAGGATTTCCGGACTATGGACCTCGTGACCTAGAACTAAATGCTGCAGCGCTACGTCCACAGGCAAGCGTCACTAACGAAAAAAGTGAAGTTCAAATGCTCCTTACCCATATGAATCAATGAAGACTTGTGAGGGGTGATACTGTGAGATGGAAGCCATGGAATTAGATTTAAGATCAGATGAGATTTATGTTACAGTACTATTTGAGTCAATGAATACAGAGGACTTCTAGAATCTACATGATATAGTCTAGTTATATTGGAGTATTTTTTATAATCAATTCAACTTGTGTTCTCATAGGCAATGAGGGTCATTCCCAGTAGCTGGAACCCATGCAAGAGACGAGGGCGAAGAAATACAACATGATGAATAGATATCTTTAGCCTGTATGTAATGGACCTAAACGTCTTACTAAATTTTACGTTAAAGAGAAACATGAAATTATTTTTCAAGAAATAACATATGTGTGATTATCAGTGTGCCTGAAGGGCTTGTTTTGGTTGTTATAATTGTAACTCACCAGGAACAAGCCCTGCGTAGTCGTCAAAGATGAATCCTTCACCTTCTAGTGGTGCGGGTGTAATCGTTCGGTATGCTCTGCATATCTGGGATAGCCAAGAAGAATCGCAACCGAATCGAAGTCGAAAGCAAACACATGCATAACTCCATTTAACGACTTCTCAATCATGCAGCACTCACCATTATCTTCTGAGTCCTCAATCTCTTTCTAACCACGCATCATCTCGCCTCAACGTCCAATTAAGTCGTTACCCTAATTGCAAACAGAAGCTTGCCTCATTCATTACCGGCCATCAAACACTATAAACTTACGACGCTACGTATACCCGCAAGCAGAGAATCAAGTCGAAATATACAATGCTTCGGACCTGGCTTATGGGGGACTGTTGCTCTTGTTGAAATCTAGACATGCTAGACCGAACTGCACGCAGTGCGGAGTAGACGAAGACTACTCATCTTCGATCGCTACCAGCTTTGGTGAGATCTCGGTTGGTAATGATCTCGGTGGTGTGAATGTTATTCCATCACGTAATCAGAATAAAATGTTTCTACCTTAGCGAGGTAGAACATAGATAGACAATTAAATGTAAGTTAAACACCAAACACTTTTAACTACTGAAATATAAGTTCAGTAAAACCAAAACCTCACTGATCCTAACCATTTATCACTGATACTTAAATCCCCAATATCTTACAATTCGTACAGTATTGACTTGACTTGACGGTCAACGTTCACTTCTATCATTCTAGATACCCCCTAGAACGTTAATAGCTCTAATTGGGTTATACAACTAGAGGGGGAACAGGTCTCTGAAGACTATGCTGAAACTGCATTTTCGAGGGCTTTTCAACTTTTGATTTTTTTGTGGGCGCCAAGACCAAGATTTCGGCTGATTAGACAGGAGGGCTTCTATTTTTGATGAGTCAACGGCACTCCCCAGCGCTCTGGCCGGCACACAAGAAGTTGGGCTAAGATGCCACATAGCAATCACGCTCTGTCAAGACTTTTCTCAAGTTTCAGCACGACCTTCGGGAAGGAGGCTAGAAAGGCAGAGGGTGAATTTCCCGAGGTACTCACAAGTCTGCAGCGCCTGGCTGGCCGGCCTCTCCGAACGCTTCGAAGGGGTCACTACGTCTTCGGATCTATGCCTAATGTCACTGTTAGGAGAAGTCCTCACCCAGTGATTTTTGCGATTTTTCCTGGCAGCTATACACCCACAAATGGCCATCGTTTCGTAGGCTGGAGAGAGGAGCTGTATGGGAGGCATAGAAGGGGATATACTACTGGTACAGGTATCCATGGCCTGTAGGCAGAGAGGACCTGCATGTCCTTCAGAGTCATAGACTTAGATAGGACAATAAAATGAATTAAAAAAAATGTAAGTGAATTTAGCGCGAGCAAAAGATTGGTGCTTAGATAATTACAGATTTCAACTTTTATCAAATCCTATCTATCCTAAGCACCATCATGAACGTAAACCCCGATCATTCTCGCATCAATCCCATAGAACCGTCTCACCAATTTTGTACGCCCCGACTTTTGTCCTCACGTGAGCTTATCTATGGGGGCTAACTGGGTCCAGAGACACAACTAACGAGAGGTGTGGTAATATAGCTGATGATGTAATGTGCTGCTGTTGAAGCTATGAGCTATTCAGAAGTCATACTATGGAGTGATGTTATATTTTGTGGGTGACAGTGAATAGACTCACACAATACTATGCTGTAGGTATATGAAAAGAAAGTATAGGACTAAACCTGTATCCATTTATTATGGAAACATCCATGAAAATATATACATGCTTGCCTAATCAGTGCACCAGTGATGTATGCTGTGGCATTGAGCTACACGCGATGCCCTAGCCTCGACTTCTTCGTTGTCTTATATCATAACTGCATCTGCAGATTCGATAACGATTTGGTTGGAAGGGATGCCAATGCAAGTGAGTATATCACTACTTAATTCGTATAGTACATCATTAACGAGTGTTTAGTCTTCATCCTAGTCTGAAAGAGTTCGTGCGAGCCGAGATATACAATGCCGTAACATTTTTAGTTAAAGCCTGCTCGAGGGTTCGTTATTTCAAACGATAAAAGTTTTAACTGAATGTAGTACTCCCAAGGAAGTTACTGACTAAAACAGCTTACTCGTCGATTGTGATCGAAAGTCAGAGAATTCAATGTTCCCAATGATTACAGGCTCAGGTGTAAGCTGAACTCCAAACTCAGTTATGCGACTTTGGATACTCGTAGATGCGCAAAGGCGATGCTTGCACTTGGAAATTAGATTGTTGCATGATTAACTTGTAGCAGTATAAGAATGATTAGGTTTGTTTAATATCTGTATGTATCCAACATATGATGGATATATTAGTACGAAGGGCGCAACGTTTATATTCGACCTTTGTTGCGCGAAATTGAAGTTCTGCAACCTGTCATATTTTAATATCAGTCTCTCACAGCTTTCGCTTAGATTTATTGTGTTAACTCTCTTTGATGTAGCATATTTAAACCACCTCCTATAAATACCAATTGGATTCAAAATGTTCCAATTAGTGCACTGTTTTTGTTGTATACAGTCTCAATCATCGATGACTTGTGCGTCTCCATTGGGAATATGTTGATAGGATAATCTTATAGTGGATCAGTCGTAGTGATCAGCGTAAATTGTTTTGATTTGAGTACTTCCCGCTTCCAAGCAATACAGATAGACTGAAGTTTGTGGATAAACGCCTTTCTGGCGTTGCTAAACTTGCTAACTGAAGAAATCAAGAGCCCAATACCTACAAAATTATACCTATCCCTTCCCTTTCGGCTCGACTTTATTACTCATAAAGAATCCTCCCTGTACCTTCCCATACCATTTTGAGTACTCATCCAGGCTTCACTCTGCAAACCCCTATTTTTTGCTTTCTTTAAAGCTACAGCGTTTTTGTGCCAGTCGCATGCATAATCACATTCGGGTACCTCCAATTCTCCAAAATACCTTGTGATCAACAAATGTCTACAAGTATCTGTATCCTCGCAATAGTCAACGAGAGCCTGAAAGCTTTTGTATCTTGCCACCATTTGAGATTGGTCTTTAGCATCTCTACTCATACGATTGTAGGCTCGATCCCGGTCCTCGCGACTGTAGTACATTATACATACACTGGCTTTGCCATCCCTGCCCGCACGACCTGCCTCCTGATAGTATCCTTCAAAAGATTTCGGGATCTGCCAGTGAACAACAAATCTTACGTCTTCCTTGTCTATTCCCATCCCAAAAGCTGTAGTGGCAACAATCACGTCATAGCCTATAGTATTATTTACCCAGCGTCGTAATGTCTCATTCTTTTCATCATTACGAAGACCTGCATGGTACGGCCTCGCTCCAATGCCACTTGCGCGTAGACGCGAGGACAAGCTTTCACAATCTTGCCGAAATATAGTGTAGATGATACCTGATACGTTATCCAGACGTTCGCCGCGTGCTTCCAGCTCGGCACGACGCTCGGGATTTTCTGCTCGGCGCCGATGAACCGACTGGAGCCATCCGATAAGATCGTGAAAGTGATCTTTTTCGTCGTTCGTAAATCTTAGCTCGTAGTGAAGATTTTTTCGGGAGGTAGTCATGGTAAAAATCTTCAAGTTAGGAGGACGCAATCCGAGGGTACTTATGACATCGGACCTGACTTGCTCAACAGCAGTTGCTGTCAGGCACATAATCGGTACGTCGGGAAATTTGGTACGTAGCCATTTCAACTCTTTGAAGGAGGGCCGAAAGTCGTGTCCCCATTCTGATATGCAATGGGCTTCATCAACAGCTATTCTTGCCAGCTCTCGATGTTCATACACTATTTGAAGGTGTTTTCGGAAAGTCTCTGTCATACACTGCTCCGGAGTTACATAAAGGAGACGAGTATGGGGATGTCCAGTCTCTAGATCACGCAGTAAACGCTGCCTCTCATCGTAACTAGTTGTTCCATTAATGGTGCCGGCTTCTATATTTCGGGAACGTAGCGCAGTGACTTGATCAGTCTAAACAAGTTTACAACCTATTTCTCAAAAATAAGGAGGCAAAGCAATTACCATTAACGAAAGCAATGGTGATATAACAACAGTTACTGTATTTAAGAATTTAGTGATAAAACGCAGGGTTAGGGACTGATTATTTGAGAGAGTTCCTACTGCCGTGGTCTATAACAGCGGGGAGCTGAAAGCATAAACTCTTGCCAAAACCAGTAGCTGCTTGCAGAAACACGTCGTTACCAGCTAGAGCACATTCGATTACCTCCCGCTGGAGTGGCCTGTGAGCAAAATTAGAGACAAAGTTCTAGCTACTGGGTGCCTTCAATTACCTAAACGTTGACCTCTTGAACCTTCGTCGGAGGGTAAAGTCGATATCAACGCATGAATTTGACCTAACTAATGGAGGCATCTCAAAGTGAGTCACCTATCGTGGTAGATGGAATTCAGCCAGTCATGGAAAGATTTTATCTAATCTTATTCGGTCTATTGCCTTCACTTTACTCATTAAATTTTCTCATTTTGTCGTTATAAAAACTACCAAATCGCAGTGAGTGTAGGTCTTTATTGATGGCATTTGAGGTTCTAAGATCTTAGCAAGGAGTGGTAATACCAGGATCATGACCAGTATAGGTCACATGGCAGACCTGTCAGAGCGCGGTAAACAATCCTAATGTCAACAACACGTACATTCTCAATAAATTCAGCAGTTAACACACGATAATTAATTACGTTGCCGATTACATATAAACATAACTTAATTCAGTATGATAGGACTCAAGCGTAAATCTTCAGATTTGGAAAATTATAATCCGGGCGCCCCCTTTGGCTCATCAACTACAAAGCTCGCGATCAATAGCGAGTTCTCTACAAGCTACCTCGCTGCGCGTCCATTACTCCCATCTAGGACACGAAAGCGATTGCGTTACGATCGACCTTCAGAGCCAGAAATCCATAGTATGCATTATCCGACATTCACCTTCCAGTCATGTCCTCTAACAATCGCAATAGAACATACTCTATTTCTTCTTTTTTCCGCCCAAAATTGTCCTAAAGCTCAATCTACACAACCCAACGGTGAGCTGGACGAAAAGTCTACCACGCCGCTTCTTTCAGAATGCCCATCAAAACAGTCAAATCTCCATGCATTTTTGCGGATCCCCCTGACGAGCGGGAATTCTCTAACTCCAAAGATGTCTCTCCCACCTAGATCTTCAATAGATACTTACTCCGAGAAGATGATTTGTCATGACTGTGATATACCACTGGAGAACGATCAAGAACTAAGTAGTCTACACATTTACGAGAACGATCACACCTGCACATCTTGTGGAAAATATGTTTGCCACAGTTGCTCAATCAGTAACTTAGGTTTGGACAGGAAATGTCTAAATTGTATCGATAAAATTAAAAACAAGAAAGATACGAACACGTAAACGAACATCAGCTGGATGTAGGTTGGCCTTTACTCTAATTGCAAATAATGAAAATTTAAATAGCGTGTTTATATACATGAAATGGAATACCATGTGGCGCTGTCTTGATCGTATTCTAAGAAAGCTTGGCTTCAACAAGTCCAATTTTTTTTAGCAAGGTGTATGTACTATAGGACTTCATTCTTGAGGCCGGTCCGGAAATCGTTAGGTCTTGAGATCAACGGCATAATTACGAGATGACTTTAAATCAGGATCAGGTTGCATCATTCCATTTCTGCCAATCGATCAGATATCATACTCAATAAAACATCTTTGGTTCAGCCTTAAGACAATTATATGCGCTATAACTTCAATCCTGTTCCATTCAGACCGCATCGCTTTTATTCTCTACGCAAATACGACCCTCAGCTACGATTTAACGATTCGTCTGTACCACTAAATAAATATCTAAGCGTCCTCTAAGCGTATGTAGAGACTAATACACATACAATACGTTTACCCCTAAAAAACATCTGAAAAGAAAGATCGAATCACAATATAGGAAATTCAGTTCGCTTGACACTCAAAAAATGAATCCGGACACACCGACGCATAAAAACTAGCGACTAAAAATTTTGCTCGCCCAACGCGAAGACTTTTAATTTAAAATTACAAAATCGTGAATTCGTGATATCCACCTTTTAAAACTGAGCTATGCTCTCTAAAGTAAAATGCCATGAATCCCGCTAAGATGCTAGGCTGGGTACTGCGTAATATCAAAAATTGTGAAGGTAGCATCGATCGCCAAGTTACTTGGCTATTCCGCCGAATTTTGTAACCCTGAGCTATCTTATTTCTTACCTGGATGGGTAAATAGGGTTCACGAAACTTTTTCTAAAAATATTCAATACAAATAGTATTAAATATAGAATGACAGTTTTTAAATTACAACTAAATAAATGTTCTTTGCAAGCGAAAGACTAAGTACAGAGGGCTCAATGCTGCATTGTTGTTAATATTCGTGGCTACGTTCCAATAGTGGCCAGACTAGTTGTGCGGTTTAATCAGCTTATTGACTCTTATCACATCGATAAATTTCTCATAACTTCCGTACTATTCAGAGATGCGGGGGTAGTAAGTCCTCTTACCGGTACTTCTTTTAGGCTCTATTTTCATGCAGCCATTCTAACTCATTGAGGTACTGAAAGTACCCGAGATTTAGGACGAAATTAAAAAACAGTCACTCCACTGACGGTCCCATTTTTTAAGACTTCAAACACCAACCCCGGGAAGCCAAATAGTGTTGTATTTCCTAAACCCTTAACACCTTCGCCAGCAACTGCCTCAGGTAGCTTTCCGCTTACACTTTCTTCCCATGCACCAAGCAACTCACAGCTACTACCTGGGCTATCGCCCCAATCGCGATTGAGAACCATACCGCGTTGACGGGTTTGAGCGTCTTCTGCATCTTTATATATGCCCTTCCACTCCTCCTGTAAATGCTTTTCGATTTCTGTGAAGAGTGATTCAGAATTTACGATGCCATGCCCATCTTGGGGTACAAGATATTTTATCTCCCATCTACATCGACGGTGTAGACTGAACGGATACGACCCTGGCACGTTTCCGTGTAGAACCAGCTTTGTAGCAACAAGACGATGGGATGAACTCGAAGATACAATACTGTCGACTCTACATTGGGAAGCATCTTGAATTTTGGATGGAGGGCATGGAGATGGGTTCGTTGGTGAGGAAAGCAAGACATCAAATCCATGGTAAAAGTAATTATAGAAGCATTCTCCAACTCTATTAGTGGCCATATTTGCGTCGTTGGCCTCAAGATCTGATTCGTCAGTTGGGGTATTCGCAGAGGACTGATCAGTGTCTGTTGAATCATCATGAAGCTTCATGTTATTTGTTATTGGCTGTGAATAGCCACGATATTTATGAATCGACATTTTCTGATCACTCTTTCGATATATTGCATCAGGTGGGCCGAGGTTAGCCACTAAATCTTGTGGAGAAGTAAAGCCAAGTTTGATCCATACAGGAGTGACACCCTCAGGACGTAGAAGCTCGATCTGACCCATCCCGTGTAAACGAATTAGTTTCACCTCTTCAGGCACAGGCTCCCGACTTTTACTCGTCACGGGATATAAATCTCTTGAGGATGAGGCGTAAGTGTACAGGAAATCTCTAGCGTTAGACCATGACGCGCCCCGAAATATGGCCATCGACGAGGCTAGCTGGCTAGTTGACGAAGATAAGAGCGATACGCAATCTTCATTGGGCGACCATTTTGATTTAGGCAATGGAAAGGAAAAAGCTATTCCCGGGTATGAAAGGACGTACGTTCCAATTTCATCTACATCATGGGGCTCGGGCTCGATGAATTCACCGGGAAATGTCGGCCCGAACAAACGATTGTAAATATGTCGAAAATTTGGGCCGGACGCGTTTTCGCCTGGTAATGGTCCTATTGCCTGAGTTACGTGATTAGGTCGTAAGACATCCTTATCTTTGTAAGTGAGGTGACTTTTAGTAAAGTCTAGCACTTCTATCAATCGCAATCGCTGCTCCGGTCCATCGAAGCGTAGACGAAGACCATTTACAGGGAGGTTAAGGATGACGGGTTCTGTAACGGGTAGGTCGTGGTTATACAACAAGTCAATCTTTTTGAAGCGATTTGGTTCAGCTTTGAGACGTGTTAATATGCCGTATAGGGAAGACCCGAGCACTGCGAGATGGGAGGGGTTAGCCAGTCATCGTTAATTGAGCGCTAGTGTGCAAATGAATGTTAATCTCACCTAGAAACCCTAATGCCTGTCCAGGAAAAATCTGAGCAGTAAATAACGACATGCTCATTGCATTTAAAAGGAAGGTGTCACTTTGAACCTCTCTTCAAACTTGTAAAGTCCATCACGGTGGTTGCCCACGTGCGTGCGGGCTCGGCCAGTGAAATCCGAGTTATCGCCTTAGTGGGTAGCTCGACCCGTGTAGTTCATTCCTATCCATAAATAGCGACAAAAAGTTGACAATAGAGAACAAAGACTAAGCACCTGTCCGCAGTATCCTTTACGAACCTGGGAGTGAAATATTCTCCCAGAGCCAAGTTCAGTTAAATTTCGCAATATCAAAGAAGTTGGTCCACGAGGCAATGATTCAAATTACTCCTCCACGTCGTTTTTTCGCTCCCAACGAGTTTGACGCCTACCCAAGTCTCACCAAGTCTACAAGTACGACCAAGTACATCCTCATCCCAATGACCACACCTCTCGTCGACTTTCTCTGGCCTCAGCTCGTCACCAAATACACGCCCACGCCGATATTTACACCCGACGGAGGAAGCAAAGCGTGGCGCACAAATCTGAAAGACAGTTCTTTGGGATGAACGTGAGAGTGATAAGGACAAGTTTACAAAATGGAGCAGAGGATAGATACAATATCGACGGGCGTGAGGTTTCGAATTCTGGCAAGGAGATTCGCGAATTGAGCTTTGTGCGCGCCAATACTTCGCTTGCGAGAGTGCAGCTGACACCATAAAAACAAGCAAACAATGGAAGATGTAGTGGTCTGCCTCCTGGTGGTGTTCTCTGGTATAGTTTTAGCAGCCTGGGAACCTACTTCACTTGAGAAGGAGATCCGTAAGATCATATTTCCCGCGGAGAAAAGTTGATGAATGATGGAGGCATGTCTGGATAACTCAGGATTTTTGAGACGTTCCCCTGGGTGGGTATTTACGGATGAGGGTTGACTTGGGGTGAACAAAAAGCCGCCATAACTTCGCAGTGGTACTTGCAAATGAAATCCGAGGCATGAGTGCACCTCCTTTAAATTGAATCGTCTATTCTGTACTTTTCTTTGACATTGTGTCATGGCTAAGTAGCTGCATACGCAATTAAAATCTGATGTAAAAATATATATATATAAATCATCTCATTCATGAGCACCCATGCGAAGCTGATTGGGTACAGAGACGCTCCACATAGTAACCCCTGCTCTAAATATTCTATCAGGGATTCTTAAAAGTCTATATGTGCGACCAATTCGAAAACGTGTTCGACCGCACCAATTGGACTGCACACTAATAGTGAAATTCCTACTGTATAAACTACTAGGTATTTATCGCACAAAATTCATTAGATAAGCTTATTACACTAAATATTCAGTCTACCGATAGTAATCTACCTGAAGCGCGAAGACTCCAATACGTTGGCCGCTCGAAAAACCTGCCAGTTCAGAAGCTCATATAATCTGCCTGTAGTAATATCAAGCTGCCAAAATGAGGGAGAGAAGACATTTGCGACAATAACAGGAGATTAAATCTGGCAAACTGGTTGGAAATTTGTGGGGGAGACCAGTCACAAAAACGGCAGAAAGAGGCAGGAAAAGTTGCAGCATACCAAAAATGGGCTAAATCCTGGAAAAATCAAAGTCGGCTCCAGTTACCTCGACAAAATGCAATCGCTGACCCCGAAACCTGGAGAGCAGTTAAGTTCTATTAGAATCGAAAGTCGGGTGGATGGAAAACAAGTCTCCAGGAATCGCCATTCCTACTCCACCGACACCTGACAAGGGCCCAAAGCACTCTAGCGATCCAAATACGAAGTGAGCATATGGGGTTTAACTCGTATTTACACAGAAGAAAAGTACACGGAGTATAAAGTCCAAGCTGTCCATGTAGCTACCAATCGCAGAACCCCAAGCACACGATTATGTCCTGCCCTCGATGTTCAAATGGAAGAGGAGAGATCTAGAGAAAAGCCAAAGATCGATCCTACGAAGCGATGATAAACAATCCTGGATAAATAAAAAGGATAATACAGTGGATCCTAAACCATGGTTGGATAGAGCAACTCCAGATGACAAAGGCGGTCGAAATGCTGCTGAGGGAAGGGAAAAGGTCAAATAATGCTTGGGGCGGATAGAGATGATCTGGTTGGTTTACATGGATAGCACTATAGTGTAACTGCGCTTCTTGAAGAAAATATGTGGGAACTATAGATAACAAGTAGAAAGGTGTGGGAGGTTTTCACTATAAAGGATTCCCGGGTAAGTATTATAGATTGTGAACACCTGCTTGGGCCCATAGGGCGCCAAATCAGGATAATGAATTAAAATTCAAATACATATTCAATGATGCGTCCAATTTCACCTCTTTTCTTTTCATATTGTATTCAGCTATTGAGCTTTGACAATTTTTCTAAAAACAGACTAAAAGTAAACAGAAATTTAAGTACAAAACTTTTCCAATCTTCTGGGTACTAACACTTCTATTGCTCCCCAAGTGCTATTATTTGTGTGCCTAATACAAGTGTCCCAATTTCCCATCATAGATTGTTGTTATCAGTTTCAATCAATTATTTTTCGAGGCCGATAAGTGCAGTGCACCATTTTAGCAGCTAGAAGCGTACACGAAGTCTTTGCTGCTTATCATACTCGTTTAAATCATGCCAGAGCCAGACTTACCTACTTGTGCGGATCACCAAAAATCCCTACCCAATTTTTATTTTGCCGAATCCTCCTCCGTCGCAATGGAGGACGCACTGCTGGATCTATCAACCAACTTCTTCCGGATTTAATCGACGCGTCGGAAGGGGCAATTTCCATCTCAAAATTACTGAAGAACTATAGGATCTTCGAAGAAATCTACTCACGGCAAGGGGCTGACCTACCTTTTCGTTTGATTTTATCGGGGGCTCCAAGGACAGAGGGGGGAGAGGGACTGCTCGATGGCCAGTCTTAAGGTGGCGGAGGTCTCAATTATTTTCTTTGCTTCAAGCTTATCCATCATTTTCTGCGCGCGGTTTCACATAACGCGGCATAGCTATGTAATCTAGACTTGTCGTAGTCCCATGTTGTCTAGAGCTCCTGCTCTAGCGTCCTTTGCTCTTCCTAGGGATAAAAGTGCGCATTCCTGATAGCCGCGCTCAATGACAGACGATAAAATATATCATTATCATCATCCATCAACTATCGCATCAACCTTGTGGTCAAATCGACCCTCATATACCCTTGGACACCATCCAATCAAGCAAACAGCTCGAAATCACCTCATTCGCCGAAGTACTTCCGGCTATATTACCGCTTTTTCATAGTTTGCGGAATTATTGCTGAGTGAAGCAAAAAAATTAGTGAGGGGTAACTAAATCACATACTAATAATGCCTCAAGCACAGCCAGAGCTGAAGAAAGTGAGTCGTTTATCCCCAGGTACATGTGGCAATTAAAGTCAGCTATTCTGAAATGGGCAGATAGATGTCCCGCATGTCAGCAAGTGAACTAATAAATATCGCAGTATCTTGATAAAAGGCTATTTGTTCAACTTAATGGAAGCAGAAAAGTAATTGGAATTCTTCGGGGTTACGATGTAAGCAAAGTTCTACCGCAAACGAAAACTCGCTAATTCACACGCAAGGTATTCTTAAACGTCGTCTTAGACGACGCTGTGGAAGAGAAAGAAGGTGGGGAGAAAGTCCGACTGGGTATGGTTGTACGTATCTCACTCCTCCTTCGTATTTATACTAAACTGCATAAGGTTATCCGAGGAAACTCAGTCGTAATGCTTGAAGCCCTCGAGAGAATAGGTGGTGGACCGAAAGCGTTGTAGATTGTATCAGAAGATGAGTCTCAGGGAGAAGCAATAGTAATTCGACTAATTAGGAGTCATTATCATACGGAAATTATCGCATAGCCTAAACAAGAGCATTTAAAAACTCATACCTCATTCCTCAGTTGAACAAATACCCGGCACCAAATACGCTAAACCTTCTCATTCTGGGAAGTAATACAGAGGTTAAAGTCAAGATTAAACTAATAAACCACTATCTGCAGCACAATAAACCTCATTTAGCCAGACAGACTGAACATTCTTAGACATAGACCTAATGAATTATGATAAATATATTCCTTAAAAAATCCCTGAAGCTATATTGCTGCTATCAATTACAAGCGCGCCTATGTTCTGATCCCGGTACCAGTTGTAAAGACATTCCTCAAAGCAATGCAATGATCGAGGCACTAAAAGGGATCCGTAATTACTGTTGGCTATGATTGACTGGCTACACGTTTCCATATTTCTTATATGTCACATATGGTGTCGATTGTGATTTTTTTCTTCAAAGATACATCAATGAGCCAAGAATTGTTGTAATGGTAGACGCGTGCCTGGGTTTTCGGGTAGGCATCTGTTATAGACAGTTGGTGAATTCAAGATCTGTCAGATAATATTCAATACGCTAGAAGACCTGTTCCTATAAGAGAGCATTTGAGCTGGCAGAGACGAATTCTACATCTTCTAGTTGTGATGGTGTAATCGCTCAGTAAGTTCTACATGTTCGGCGTAGCCAATAATAATCGCATCCTAATCGAAGTCATAAACAGCCTCTTGCACATCTATACTTGAAGATTTCTCATTTATGTCGGTCTTGATTTGTATCCATTATTCTGATTTAGTGCCCTATGGGCCCATGCAGGTGGCAATAAATCTATTTAGATATTTACATAGGAGGAAACCTCTCGGTGAAGACCCCCACGCTTTCTGATTTCATTCTTAGAGTGCAATTTATCCTTCAGGAAGTACAGTTAAACCGTAACGCCGTCGATGTGTACCAATCACATCCCTTTTATCGACCCCAACCTTGGACATATTCTTTCTTGTTCCCTGTGCAGCATTTCGACTGCATTTGTCATGCAGAATTTTTCTATCCAACCATGATGAATAATCCATTGTATGATTCTTTTCATATCATTAGGATTGTTGATCATTGCTTCAAAGGAGCGGTTTTGTGCTTGTCTCCAAATTTCTCCTCTACCAATTGACCACTTGGGGCAGGACATGATAATGTGCTTGGGATTTTGTGATTGGTAGCCACACGGACAGCATGGATCGTAGACTCCTGGTACCTTTCTTCAACGCAAATGCAAATTGAGCCCGATATGCTCGCTTCGAATTCGGACTGCCAAGCTACTTTGGGCCCTCGTCAGGTTTTTGTGGGGAGAAAATGGTGACTCCCGGAAGCTTATTTTAGTACGTCCAGAATGGCGGGAGTGGTAAAACTTTGCTGCTGCCCAAGGTTTAGGGTCTGCTAAAGCAAATCTTTTAGGCTGTCGAGTTCGCTATGTGGCAGACCAAGATTTCGCCCATTCTAGGTACGCTACAACCCTTACCCCTTCTTTTTGTAAGTCATTGGATTTCTTCTCTACGCAAATCTCTTTCCAGTACGCAAGGTCTGCTCTTCTATTGTGTGCTCTAATATCTTCCCTTTCTCTTCTGGGTGATGTCGGTCTTACCACTCTTATTTGAGTCCTCAGCCTCTATCTAACCACACATCATCGTGCATCGACGACCAACAAAGTAGTTGCTCCAGTTGCAATCGGGAGCTTGTCCCGCTAATTATTAGCAAACTTCCACAACCAATTTATGACGCTTTTTATAGCCGCAAGGAGCCATAAAGTAAGCGTGGTAGCGAGTACATTGATCGAGGCAATGCTACCACCGACTGGCAGCTAAAAAGGACGTACATGAGTTTTTATAGTCATGGTGTTAAAGTCATGATAAACGTACATAAAACAGGGGGCCTGAATTCTGAGGGTAATTGCTTGGTGAAGGAGCTATCGGACACGGGCGATTGATTAGATAAAATCTGCTCTGAATTATAGATAATTGGGCACGATACGAGATATGGCCGGTTCGGATACAGCCACAATTTGCAAAGATGCCGCTGACCCAGGCAGCACACTTATGGTGTATCTTTGGTTCAGGAGAATTTTATCCAATTATTAAGGTTGCCCGGCCAACCACACATCGATGGAGTATGCGAGGCTAAGGAATGGTACAATACTTACACTATCGGACTTGTGTGGCGAATGCTATCAACAATATATTAAAAATATCCAGGATACATTTCACACTAATCTGAATCTTCACAGAGCCGTACAACAGAAAATCAACAATTAAATTCAAGTTTTTTATGGCAGGGAATTCCCGGCCGTCTTGTACACGAAAAGTTATCATGCGACCACCCTCAAGACCCTCTTCATCTCATCGATATGAGCCTTCTGGATCATCAACAATTGTGGAACCTTCATCCTCAGCCGTCAACATGTGCAGCGGGGTGAAACGAAAAGAAAGGGACTTTGAAATTGACGATGAATCGACAAACATCAATGTAGTTGTGAGATGCAGAGGGAGGAATGAACGTGAAGTAAGAGAAAATAGTGGTGTTGTCCTTTCAACGGAGGGAGTAAAAGGTAAAACTCTAGAGCTAGGCATGGGACCGAATGCCTTAAGTAACAAGACGTATCATTTCGATAAAGTATTCTCTTCAGCTGCAGATCAAGCCATGATATATGATGACGTGGTGACTCCAATACTAGATGAGGTAAATATTTGATCATTGCCTCTCTGGATCTAATCTGACTGAATTTAGATGCTTTCTGGGTATAACTGTACCATCTTCGCATACGGCCAAACTGGTACTGGCAAGACTTACACTATGTCGGGTGATATGAACGAGACATGCGGAATTCTTTCTGATTCAGCAGGACTCATTCCCCGCGCACTCCAGGCGCTTTTCACAAACCTAGAAATGAACGATTCTGAATGGTCGGTGAAATGTTCTTTCATAGAATTATATAATGAAGAGCTTCGCGACTTGATATCACCAGAAGATAATGTGAAGCTAAAGATTTATGACGATAATAATAACAAGAAAGGACAATCCAGCACAATCGTGCAGGGAATGGATGAATCTCATATCAAGAGTGCTGCAGAAGGTATAAGATTATTACAAGCTGGCAGCCATAAACGTCAGGTAGCTGCCACCAAATGCAATGACTTGAGTTCTCGAGGCCATACTATATTTACAGTTACAGCGTACGTAAAGCGTACTGCCGATAGCGGCGAAGATTATATCAGTGCAGGAAAATTAAATCTTGTGGACCTTGCCGGCAGCGAAAATATTCAACGGAGTGGTGCTGAGAACAAGAGAGCTGCAGAGGCTGGGCTCATCAATAAAAGTCTACTAACCCTAGGAAGAGTAATCAATGCACTAGTTGACAAAAGTTCTCACATACCTTACAGAGAGTCAAAGTTGACAAGATTACTTCAAGATTCTTTGGGAGGAAGAACTAAAACCTGCATAATAGCGACCGTATCACCTGCCAAAAGTAACTTGGAAGAGACTATTTCTACTCTAGATTATGCTTTTCGGGCTAAAAATATAAGAAACAAACCACAAATTAATCAGATGATTAACAAAAAAACACTTCTCAAGGAGTTCACTGTGGAAATTGAGAAGCTCAAAACTGAGCTCATAGCAACGCGACAGCGTAACGGCGTTTATTTGTCTAACGAAAACTATGAAGAAATCACCACACAAAGTGAATCCAGGAGAATCCTCAGCGAAGAACAAGCAGCTAAGATTGAGACAATGGAAATGAATCTCCGTAATAAAGTACAAGAGCTTTATTCTCTAACAACAAGTTTTATGTCTCTTAAAAAAGATAATGAGTCTACGAAAACTTTGCTCGAGGAGACAAACACACTTCTTGAACAAACAGAGATCGTTCTTGCTGCAACCCGTCAAAGTCTAACTGACGAGAGTAAAATACGTAAAGCTCATCAGTTGACGGAACAGAAGCTAAGCAAGATAGGAAGTAAGCTAATATCCACTTTAACTCAGACCGTCGAGGATATAGGCGGTCTACATGCAAAAAATGGTAGGAAGGCCGGTCAAGAATTCCTCAATCAAAACACCTGGTGCTTTGCTCAAGCAGAGGTTTCAGAGATTACCAATCTAGTCGAGTCTAAAACTGAAGAATTAGGTATCCGGCATCAAGAATTAATTGATAGAATGTCGACAAGTATGCAATCTTTCATTTCGAATGAGCTTTTAAATCTCTCAGCTAATCAGTTTCAACTTCAAAAAAATGTTGCTACAGTTCGAAGCTCAGAAAAAGAAATGCTGAAAAAGACTGAATCTTCGACTGAACAGATGAACGGAGTCTTAGAGGATGTAGATAATATGCGCCTTAACGCAAGTAATCATGTCTATGAAGGCTTTCATGGATTATCTATAACGGCGGAGCGCATATCCAACGAAGTGGCAAAACAGCTCAGTGGCTTTCACACCCAGGTAACGTAACTAAAAATTACGCTATTTATCCAATTACTAAACGAACTAGCTTCAAGATTCATACATTTTACTAGGGAAGAACTTTAGCTCAATTTTTGAAAATATTCTCCAAAATATGAAACAACTAACCGTCGAAGCCAGCTCTTTACGATCAAGCTTAGCATCGGCAAACGAACTTATTACAGAGACAAGTCATGCAGCCTCCTTGATGCTGGAAAATATATTACAAGAAGAACGTGATCAAGCTAGTTCCGACCGACAGAAGCTTCTTGATAAGATTACGGCACTTATCACGGTACAAAGCGAAACACAAGAAGCACGCATTACCACTAAAATCAGTGAGGTACAAAGAGAAATGAAAATCTCGAAGGAAATATTCGAGACGGAAAAATCAAAATGTGAACAGAATATGGATGCATGGAGTCACAAGGAACGTAATTTACAAGAGGAAATAGTTCTTTCTAGAGAAATATTAAAAGATCAAATTGATCGAGAATGGGCGGTAAGTGACATAATTCTTTCATCATTCCATAAATTAACGTTAAAAAAGGTCGCAGACGACCAAAGCGCACGCCTTCAGATCACAGCAAAGTCTGTTCATGAAGAAACAATCAGAAACGTTGACGCTCAACTAAAGGATATCGAGCATCAGATGTGTGCTTTAGGTGATTTCGTCACTCGGGCCAAATCAATTAATATAGAACACCACGACCATCACGTTAATTCATTGCAAGATCTTGCTAACAATGTACAAACATCTAACTCGAGTGTCAACAGACATATGATATCTTCATACGAAAGATCACGTGACATGATTCTCGCTTTTACTGAGCAAACATATCTAGCGCAACAATGCTTAGAACCATTAGATTCCGCCGTAAACAAACCACTCTCACAGCTCCGACAAACAATCAATAGTCTACAGCTTCAACAATATCAACCCACCGGCCAAACACCCCAGAAAACCCACTACGATTATCCTACGAAATTGCCTAGAACGGATGACTACAAGTCACTGTTGGCTCCCGTGGAAAGTTCTGATGAATATTTTGACTTTGTCACATCTCCTGTACCTGAAAATAATCGCATATTTGAAGACCTGCCCTGTCTAGATGAAGAATTTCAGGAGTCACACCCTCGAAACTCTAAACGACTTCAAGAAGCCCACATCCATCGGTCATCATCTATCCTAAAACCTGGCTTAAGGGAAATTGATTCAAACATATCCAACCCAACTTTTAGTATCCGCAACTTAAACGATCAGCTTACGACAATTCCAAAATCTAAAAGGTTAGTTCGTCGTAAAGGGACGGCTAAGGATCTGGGTAAATTGCCTGTTCTAATGGCCAAAAAAACAATAGCCGTGTCGGAAGAAAGTGAAAATTTGCCACCAAATGAGTCAATTCTAGCACTTCAAGGGACAGGTAGACGGAGAAGTCGCCGAATAGCATACTAGACAAAGCAAAGGATCTTTTAATTGATGGTTGCCACCACGTCAGGTGACATGGTTACGTTATTTGTTTTCTATAGCACTGTTCCTGGCTTATTACACCCCTGCACCGGGTGATCAAGATGCTAAAAGATTCCGATTTACTTTTAAAGATTAGATCACTTGAAGCGCTCACTAAATAGTTTTGAACTATTTCAGTGGAACTTCGCATTTCATATATTTGATGCCACTACGAGCCTTGGGAACCCTATAATTAAAAAATTGAACTAGAGATTTAAAAGAATTGCGTAAGTATAAATACTAAACAAACTTGATCCACTTGAGCCAAATGGTCAAAATCTCAAAATATATAATTCTATATTTTTTAATCTTGCGGAAGAGTTATAAGGATTCTTAATTTTAAATCTTCGAAAAAAAGTGCTGAACCGGTAACTATTTGAATAATTGAGCCATCAAATAATTAATTTAGCCAAAAAGCTACGCAGTGTTTCAGGCTATCTTCTGTATCAAATTGACATCGTCAATTTAATAGTTATGTTTTCTCTACTTCATCCCCATCGTGAAACCCTTTATGCCACAACATGGTGAGCTTAGATAAATTAAACAGTTCCGACATTTCGCAAAAAGCGGCAGTGACGACCAACGCGGATGGTAATGGAGCTAATATGTAACGGCTTGTGAGACGATTTTTGTTTGACACGTGTTTGAAATCACATGTTTCTATAATTCTACAGAAGTCTAGCTTTACTCCTGATCAGTTCAGCTGTAATTGAAATATTCTAATAATTGATAGCAAGACTGGGAACCACTATGACTGGAATATACGAGAAGCAGATATCAGTCAAGAACATGTATTCTAGATATTTTCACAAATGTATAAATAGTTGAAGTAATATTTCGATAGTTAGCCGCAGAGAAAATTATATACTACCTTCGTATATCTGATTGCTCTAGCATCGACACTCGAACCGTGACAGGAACTCTATCATGCTATTCGCCAGATTAGCGGCATCCCCTGCCCTTGAAAATTATTCCAGTAAACGAAGAGTGATTCACCTTCCAGTGGTGCCGGTGTAATCGCTCAGTATGCTCTGCATATCTGGGATAGCCAAGAAGAATCGCATCCGAATCGAAGTCGAAAGCAACCTCATACACATCTCCATTTGACAACTTCTCGACAATGCCTCTCTCATCATTATCATCTGAGTCCTCAACCCATCTCTAACCACGCATCATCTCGCCTCAGCGACCAATAAAGAAGTTGCTTCAATTGCGTACAGGAGCTTGCCCCATAATCTCCAGCCATCACTCACTACATATTTACGACGCTATTTATATCCGCAAGGAGGAAATCAAGTCGAAAAATACAAAGCCTGGGTCATGCCTTATGGGGGACTGTTGCTCTAATGGGACATACAACTGGAGGAAGAAAAGGCGGCTGAGATGTGGAGCGAGGGGGGAAAGAGGTCTCTGAAGGCCATGTTGGGACTGACATTTTCGAGGAATTTTCAACTTTGGAGTTTTTGTGGGCGCCAAGACCGAGATTTCGGCTAATTAGCCAGGAGGGCTTCCTTTGTCGATGAGTCAACGGCATTCTCCAGCGTCCTGAACGGCACAAAAGAAGTTAGCCTATTCTACCATACAGCAATGACGCTCTATCAAAACTTTTCTGACATTTTAGCACGACCTTCGGGAAGGAGTTGGAAGGAGGCTAGAAAGGCAAAGTGTGAATTTCCTGAGGCACACACAAGTCTACAGCGCCCAGCTGGTCGATTTCTTCGAACGCTTCGGAAGGGGCACTATGTCTTCGGATCTAGTCCTAATGTCGGTATTAGGAGAGCTCCGTACCCAGTGGTTTTTGCGATTTTTCCCGGCTGCCATACACCCGCAAATGGCCATCGTTTCGTTGGCTGGAGAGGGGAGATCAAGGGCTAAGGGCTCCTCTAAGTGTATGATCGAATGAGGACTTGTGAGAGGTGGTACTGTTTGAGGGGAGCTGTATGGGAGGCATAGGAGGGGATATACTACTGGCATGGGTATCCTTGGTCTGTAGGCAGAGAGGACCTCTACGTCCTACATAGTCATAGACTCAGACAGGACAATAAAATGAATTAATAAAAAAATGAAGAGTGAAAATTCACTGTGGGCTCATATAGGCACCATGGAATAAACTGTTCACACAAAATCAAGTTATATCGAATGACGCAAGACCGACTAAGTTTGCCCGCAAGCAACGGCTCTAGACTCCACACTACACAAAATTTTCTCTCTCACCAGGATACAACACTACCAAAATTTGATGAGGTCTAAATTTATACCGATTCAGACTGGTCTCATCTAGACTCCAGATGTACGCCCGCGACAATATTATCATCCGTAGAACACAAGCTGTGACGCGAAAACTTGCCAAGGCAGATGTGAGGGATAGCCGTGAGAGAGATGGGAACCGTTAGGGTAAATTGCACAAATGATGGATACAACCTTAAACGGAGTGAGATTTCAATTTTTGAGAAGTGGCCTTTGAATTGAAGGGCATTGTGCGCTCTACGCCTTCAAATTTCAGAGTTGAGATGATAATTTAAACAGAGTCATGCGCGCATGGAGCACTACCTAGGCTAGCACCCATAGTAGAACCTTCGCAGCTTAGAAATCTAACGTCACGAGTTAACAAGACAAACAAGATACTTTTTATAATCAATGAACCGACACTGGCATCCAAAAAAACATTGCACAACCTTGAGAGATGTGGACTGGGAGGAAAGCTTAAGCTTGCTTGTCATTTACTAGCCCGGTCGGGGGACTATTCTCCACACCTGTGAGTGGTGTCCCTTACGAACCTCCAGCTCTCACTGTAGAGTCTGCAGAGCCAAGATTTAGTAACAAAATCTTCACTTCCATGGGGATTCCCAATCGCTTGCGCCGTCTGTATCGTCTTCATCCCTAAGCACACCCCCCTATCACCATTATTATGAAGCTAACTGATGGAAATTCTGAATGTCGAATTTAGGACTCAACCATCATCAGTTTCGTCTCAGGTTCCCGACAAGATTGAATCTCTCCACACATGTCCCGAGTGCGCTAATCGCGCCTACTATCGCTCATACGTTTGGATATTTACGTACTACAGTGTATTTTTTGTTGACTTTGATTTAGTTTTGATTGAATTTAACGTCGTGCCTGTCCACAGCTCGTGAGCTCCTCACGTACCGGTTAGCCCAGTCTAAATTAAACTACCCGGGGTGTTGGCGCCTACACAGACCCAACAAAGTGAATGATAGCCAGGATCTTATCATCCTACGCTCGAAGATTGTAGAATACATGAAGGTCGTCTGCCCAACGAATTTCATGCTATGCAGTTGGTACTAAATCAAGACAAGATTTTACTAAAAACAAAAGGAGAAGATAATTTACATCAGATCGTGATTTCGCTCGAATCAGACTTTTCATTGTGCCCTTTCGAGGAAATTTGCGACATGCACCCAGTTATTGAATGCATCAACTCCCTCCGCCGAAGCAAGAGCCCAAGATACGCTGGGATTAGAATTCTATGCCCTGCAGAGCTGAGCTTGGTATTGCCCGAGGTGGCAATAGAAAAGCGGTCGGGGGACTTCTCTTCTCCGCAGGAGCAGGTAAGAGGAGCGTTTTCGTGCTGAAACCGTCGGTGGTAGTCTGCAAAATCGCCGTGACCGGATCGTGCAGCTAGTAGATATCCTAATTCGCGTCGCCCCAGACGGGCGAGCTGAATGGTGATCTTAGTATTAGGACCAATACCTAACTCTTTCTATCTAGAAGGTGCATTTTCTGCCCAAGAGAGTGTTACGGAATGTTAACATTTCTATCTTGACATCGACCCGTACAAACATACCGTATAATAGTAACTCATACTGATACTCAGGATTGCAATGGATAGCAGAGATAGATAGTGTTTATGGTAGTGCGGGGGTTGGTAATTAGTGACAAGGATAGGACACATGTATATATATGTCGCGCACTTGACTCCACTTTAATATGATGATGCTTCCGACCACATTCACAATGCCCATACCTACTCTGGGCCAATCACCCCTTATTATATTGGTCCTATCTTCTAATTAATGCCCTTTTCGCCCTTTTGTCTTCAATGACAGGTCATGATATTCTTCGTCTTGCTGGCCATCATCAAGCTCAGAGTTATGGACAGATTAAATCTTTAACACGGAAGACTCACATTGAGTTTTGACTTCTCTTTTTGCCCTCGCAATGGAGAGTTCTGAGTGTGGAGCTGGAGCCGCACAGGCAGCTTCGTTTCCAAGAATACCTGCGTGGCCTGGGCACCATCGGATGGCCACTTCCCCAGGCATTGTGTTTTGGCCGCGTGACCTTCTTTTCCAGTTTGCTGCAAGCTTGCGAAAGAGAAAGATTTTTGCCGAGCTAGACGCTGTGGGCGTATCCAAGAGCTGACGGATGGCAGCCTCCTGGTTATCGAGGTAGACAGTAACACTATAGACATAATAGGCCAGTGGTATGCGAATAGCTGCGGCAAGATCTTCCGTGGCCCCGGCAATTTCTGCATCATAGACTTTTGACGAGTTTTCGAGCGGGAGTGATTCTCGCCCTATTTCCTGAGTAGGGCCTCGGTAAATGACAAAGCCCGCACCTGCTCGGTCTTCTATGAGAGCGCCATCTGAAAATACGAATAGGTCTAGGATTGGTTGTTTAGCCTGCCGTTTTTGGAAGTAATTTGGTCCCAGGAGTCTACCTACTGCCCCAATTTGGATTAGATTTTCCTCACGGGGTGCGGACCATGGTGAAGGTATGGTGTCATCAAAAGTTCTAACGGGATCCTCTGGAGGATCCAGCGCATGCGACTAGTATTCCAACGCCTATGAAGAGGGTGGTTTAGGTTAGCCGCTGCAAGTCGAACCGCTAGACGTCTGTGAACTTGGGAGAGCCACGTCTAGGCTAGGCCCCAGCCAGCTTCACGTAGAAGTGCTGCTATTGGTGTGGTACTGTAGACTGGGAAATCA